CGAGTTTTGAGCAGTGTAGAGTAGCGCTTGTTGTTTGTCGTTTCTCCAAACACAAATGCAGACATGGTTTTATGTTTACACGGTGCGATACGCAATGCGTAAAAGACAGTATAAGTCATTATAATCAGTAATTATGTCCCCACTGGATGCAACAAATGCCTCATTTATAATAAATCAACGCTTTTCAGAAAGGCGGGGCATAGAGGAGAAACAATAATGTACATTATGTGGAAAATAATACATATAAACCACATAAACACTTTGCATTGCACCGAAAACATAAAATAATGTTCTTTTTAGCAACATCATATGACCCCTTTAACACCGGATAATTTTTCTAAGTACAAAGTATATATTTTTGTATCATTTGTTTGATTGGTTTCTCTTCGTCTACTTTCAGGATTTGTGTGAAAATCTAATTGTTTTGGGTCATATTTATGCAGAAATATAGACAATTCTAAAGGGTTCACAAACTTTCAAGCAACACTGTATATTATGTTTTTATAATAGATGTGTAATATTATTATGTCTCTCACATTTAAGGCTCCACCTGTGGCTGTGAAACGGTCAATCACTTTTAGGAAAATTGCTCCCAGAAAAACTCAGGTATTTCTAACAAACTGCCCAGTTTTTTTTTTTTTTGACCAAAAACATAAAATAATGTTCTTTTTAGCAACATCATATGACCCCTTTAACACCGGATAATTTTTCTAAGTACAAAGTATATATTTTTGTATCATTTGTTTGATTGGTTTCTCTTCGTCTACTTTCAGGATTTGTGTGAAAATCTAATTGTTTTGGGTCATATTTATGCAGAAATATAGACAATTCTAAAGGGTTCACAAACTTTCAAGCAACACTGTATATTATGTTTTTATAATAGATGTGTAATATTATTATGTCTCTCACATTTAAGGCTCCACCTGTGGCTGTGAAACGGTCAATCACTTTTAGGAAAATTGCTCCCAGAAAAACTCAGGTATTTCTAACAAACTGCCCAGTTTTTTTTTTTTTTGGACTCCACCAAAAATACATAATGTTGTCATTTAAAAATATTCCTCTAGGCCCTGTCTGACAGTAACAAGGAGAATGTGGAAAGATTATCTGAAGTGCCGAAAAAGCTGTCCAGAGTCTTGACATCATCCCCAGCTGTGGCAACAGTGCCTAAGGCAGCTGTCCTCTCGCCCATCCTGCCTACTTCATCTCCATCTTCTCAGCCCAAAGAATCGGAGCAGGACCCCGTTTGGTCCCAAAAAGTGCGACGCTCTTACAGTCGCTTGAGTATGGGGGAGAAGTCCTTTGAAATCCCCAAATCCCATCATGCACCTTCCACTTCTCCCAACAACCGAGAGACCCTGTTTGGTTTTGAGAGGCTTCAGACTCCAGAGGTGATGCGCAAAACTGAGGGATCTAGAGTAGCTCCTCTGGGCTCTGTGTCCATCTCACTGGGTTCTTTCAACATCTCCGCTGCTGAAGACAGCACGTCAAACCCACCAGAAATTGATCCAAACATCCCGGGTGTGTGTCTGGGGAAGAAGACAACCAGGCGGAAGCGCGTACAACAGATAAAGGTGAGAGTGAGTCGGGGAAGGAGGAGGACATAGGGATATAAAACATCTCTTTAAATTTAAAGGTGGAGTGTGTAAAATGGAAATTTGCTAACAGTGCACTCAATCTCAGGCCATCCAAGATGTAGATGAGTGTTTCTTCATCAGAACAGATTTGGAGAAATGTATCATTACATCACTTGCTCACCAATGGATCCTCTGCAGTGAATGGGTGCCACCAAACATCTGATAAAAACATCACAATAATCCACAAGTAATCCACACAACTCCAGTCCATCAATTAATGTCTTGTGAAGTGAAAAGCTTTGTGTTTGTAAGAAACAGATCCATCTAGAAACGTTTTTAACTTCATACCGTTACTTCTGGCCAAAAAAAAACGAGTCCTCTATCAGTGATATTAATTTCTCCAGTGAAAAAGTAATCTTGTCTGAATCAGGAGAATGCAAATATGCATAGATCATGTACTTCTGTCAAGCAAAAATGGTCCAGAGCAGTTCTAAACAAACATGTTGGCAGATTTTAATGTGAGAGGACAACACCAGAGAAAGTGTTATTATGGACTATAGACTCAGAAGTAGTGGTTTATAGAGAAAATGCCTGAACACTGGATTTATTTCTTTCAAACATGCAGATTTTCACTTCATGAGATGTTAATTGATGGACTGGAGTGGTGTAAATTGCTTGTGGATTATGGTGATGTTTCTATCAGCTTTGAGTTCTAATGCTGATGACACCCATTCACTGCAGAGGATCCATTGTGATATAATACAAAATCCCTCCAAATCTTATCTACATGTTGGATGGGCCGAGGATGAGTAAATGTTCAGCAAAATTTAATTATTGAAACAATATATATTTTTTAGAAATTATAAAAAAAAAATCAGTTCCAAAAGGGAGTTTTTGCAGCGATGCCATAAAGAACCATTTTGGTTCCCCAAAGAACCTTTCAGTGAACAGTTCTTAAAAGAATGAATTTAGTTTCTTGGTGTGAAGAATGTTTTAATAATCTAAATAACCTTTTTCACTATAAAAAAGCTTTTGTGTAATGGACAGGTTCCATGGATGTTAAAGAATCTTTTAATAGTGTACCGTAATTTCTACTTCAAGTGGAATTGCATAAATGAATTTCAAACAGTGTTGCCTCATTATGCTTCTTGTTTATTTACTTAGATTGGTCTTAATTTTTCTCCTGCTCTTTCAGATGTCAGAGTTGGACAATCTTGCAGCAAAGATGAATGCTGAGTTTGAGGAAGCCGAAAGTTTTGAACTGGTTGTTGAATGAAATTTCTAAAGTGCCCCACACGCTCAGGACATTTTCAGGACACGTCATACTTTTCAACTTATTACTTTTATTATTGTTCATTATGCTTACTGCCCTCTGTTTCTTCCTGCTTGCAAAATCTTAACTAAAAGCATGTTTTCAGAGATCAAACTGTTTTGTTGTTCTGATCATTTTTCACAATTTCACAATCATCAGCAAATCTCTAAATGACAATGTTGAAAAACATGTTGGTCTTTCTTTGTTTTTTTCATATTTGATGAATCAGTTTTGTTAACTTTTATTTTATTAAATAGTATTTTGGAGTAGTAGCATGTCAAAGTTAAAAGTGTGCATCCTGTTGTTAAAAGTTTCAAGTATTTTTCCTATGATAAAATGACGGCAGAAGGGATGATCACTGGTACAATATGTAATACTCTTTTCATATTACCTATATTAATAAATCCTGTCTGGCTAAATTACATGTTTAAAACATTTATTTTGGTCTTTTTAAAGTATTGATTAGTTGAGCTAAAAATATTTTAAATGTTTAAAAATATTTTTTTTTTAATGGGAACCGGATACTAACAGAAATCAGTATGTTGAGCAATCATTGCTGCATGTTGTGATTTCACCACTAGAGTGAGCACTTGATCATCATAGTATTCATATGTGCATCTATTGTTTACTCTATGTTCCAACATGTTCCAGAACATTTGTTTTGTGGTATGCAGTGTGATCAGCATGTCAACACAATCTGTAGTGGATCAGTGCATGCTAAGGAGTCTGTGAGAGACTGATGTGGGGCCTGTACCATGAAGCCGGATTAGCTGGCTAGCCAGATAAATTTCAGTTTAATTTGCATCAATCCTGGGTTTTAGGTACCATGAAAGTGGCTTGGCTTTTAGCAGCGTTCATTGTCATAGTAACTTGCGCTCCACAGCTAACCTGCTCCGGGGCAGATTACGTTCTGGGTTAGAGATCTCAAACTGAAATTGGACCAATCAGATCTGAGCAAAGTGACACATGTCTGATGCAAAAAAAAAGTCACTCCCCCAGTCTCTTGATTTATGTAATTATTATGATTTATATTATTATAATTAATCTATTAGTTTAACAATAATTATAAAGCATTTGTTTTAAATTAATATTCATACAGATCCATCCTATGTCATAAATTATAAGCTGTAGAATCAATAGATAACGCTTTAACCCCTTCAGACCTGAATTTTTTTCACTGAACCATTTTTTTTATCCACTTCATATTTGCTCTTCTCCATTATAGAAATGTATAAAAAACAAGATATATGCCAACTCATTTTTTTTATAGATTTTTTTCATGTCCACTGTAATGGACACCAGGACTGAAGAAAAAAAAATCCCCATATTTTAACCATACATAAGTAGAGTTTGTGCACTATAGTTGAACTAGTGTTTAAGATTTTGAAAAGAACATACTATAAGAAAGAACAATGCAGTAAGAATGGAAAAAAAAAGGTAAGATGATATGAAGTCTCAAAAAAACCTGTTTGATCCTTTTTGTTGGTTAAGTGGGTGAATCCGAGTATATGTATAAATGTCTTTGTGTGTATGTGAATGTGTTTATTTGTACTTGCTGATTGTTTTGATGAATATATGATTGTGTGCATTATAGCATCAATGCATCAGTGTGTGTGGAGGGGGTGTGAGTGTGCATTGCTGTGTATTCACTGATCTCACATCCACTATGGCTGTTTCTCACTAAAACCAATGAAAGTTGATTGACAGGCTATGGTCAGTTTGATGACATAAATGAAATCATATTAATTTAATTAATTAACGTCAATGTTCATAAAACATTAACATTTTAATTTGTAGCTATGTATTTAGCTTTGAAATGCTTCCACAAATTTCTCAACCTGTTATACAACTAATTCATGAGGTGTTGCTGATTCTGCAACTCAGAAAGATCTTCAAAATAACTTTGAATATTATCATTTGATAGTCTTAATTTTATAATAGGTGCAAGTTGATGAGGCTACCATAAACATAAATCTGCATATAAAAGGTCAAATGAGGACTTCCTCCTCTTCTTGTCTAGTTGGTTAGTCATGTCTCTCTTTTGTGATGCCTGTAGCTCAATAAGATTAAGTTAGGAGTCATATCTTCACCATATCAGTCATATCTTCTTATAATTGTGAGACCAAAGATTTCTTTTAATCAAGCAACTAAATGTGTATCTTGTTTAGGTAGGCATTTGTGTCAGTTATCTTGCCTGCATACTTCACCTAGCCTAGGTTGTTAAACAATGATGGGGTGAATGCTTATCAGTTTCTTTATATTTGTATATTTAATTTTAAAATGGCAGAGAATTACACTGGGACAGAAAAATCCAATATGGCGCTACAGCACAGCAGTACAAAAATAATCAATGAGGGGTGAATAGTTCCTGAAGACACGTTGGCAATTAATTCACATACTATAATGTCCTTGTGTGAATTCTGGTATTATATAATATGAGGAAGTTAATAGGAAATTATCATCCTTGTATGGCTTTTCATTTAGGACTCAGCTGTGATTGGGTCTGTGTCTATTTGTTCTTTTTCTGAAGGTTACATTTCATTCCAGTTTGACATTGATTATGGTTGGGTGCCTGACCAGTGTTACATAATTGATCATTGATGGTTTCTAGCATGGAATGAACAAATACATACCTACCCACGGACCCTGGAGATGCCCCTACAGTTTCAGTTCTTTCAGTGATTTGTTCAGTTTTTTTTTCATCTATGGCATCAGTGCTGTAATTATGATGGCTCACATAGTTAAATGGTGGCATGGACGGTGAGGGCAAACATGTGCCTGTGAACGTGTATTATGATTAATGTTGTAAATTCAAATTGATTCTCAATGATTCCATTCTCAGACTGAATCATCAGCCCTGTTGCATTAACATATGCATCAATAGTGATGACAGATACAAGCCCAGGCCTGAAGCAAAGGAAACTGTGAACCATAGTGCAGTATGCATATGTCAAGTTACTAATTTATCAGTGTTTTATTAAAACGGCAAAAATATGTATAAGGTCAAATTAAAAGATGAGACTGTCACTTGGTGAAAACTCAAAAAATGTATTTATTTATACTTATAAATGATTTCTAAAGACCTAAAAGCATAATTGAAAAACATGCATGCAGCTTATTTTATCTGATGGCCCCCAAAATTAAAAGAGGCAGCCACTAGTGCCATGGAAAATAATCTTCCCTTCAAACTTTATTTTAGCTGTGAATTGATGTTATTGTCATTGCTGCGCAAATTTGCCATGGGCACTTCAGACAATGAGATTGGAATTATTGATATCTGGTGCTCACACTGTGCTGATGACTGTTGGAAAATCAGCCATGTCAGATAAAAGGGACAGACAGACATGGATAGAAAAGTTGAGAAAATGCCAGAGCTCTCATCATCTCTCTTGAACCCTTCAAGAAAGTAACATTTGTTTGCTCAAAGTTGCATTTGTTTGAAATTAAGAATTGAAATTGTGCTTTTAAATTGATATTACAAATATTTATTTTTCTTTAATCCTTTGAGGAGGTCTGGATTCTTTTCTCTTTTGAACATTTTGCGGTAAGATATTGCAATATCACATAGCTAACTTGTAACAGTTTCTATTTTATGTTAATTTAAAAAATATGAGGTATGTTTTACAATTTTATCTGACACCTGTAAGTATTCATCAAGTATTTTCTTTTAATTCCTGTTTATATTTCTTAGATCAAGTATACTGTGTATTATATAAACCCATTTGTTTAGATCTAAAATCTAAATGTCAATTTATAAAATGTCAGTAATTCAGTCAGATATTCCATGCTTTACCACGTGCACAGTTTGTTTGTTGCTTTGTAACTGGCAATACATATTTTTACATTTTAATTTACCACTACCAAACTTTACCATATCTATTATGTATTCCCACAGTACTTTCCATTACACTTTTGGATTATTTGTTGCTCAGGAAACAAGCAGTTGTACAAAGCAAGAACAATTTAATTCAATTAAATTCTCTTTCTGAGGAGAAGCAAGAATATAGACAATGGCTCATCATCAGACACATAACCATAGTCAACACCATCATCATCATCAGCATCGCCACTCGTTTCATCGTCACCAACATCACAATCATGGTGCACACCTTCCAGAGGAAAATGAGGATAAAAGGTAATACAAAAATATACATTTGTAAGAAAAGAAAGCATTTTTAAAATGTATATATAAATATAAACATTCACAATGTATATACAAATGGTTGTTATCTTGAAGCACAAAAACTTAGCAATATTAGAAACAACAGTACATTCTTAAAGCTGCATTCCATTCTTTCTTTAGTTTAAAATGATCCAAGATCAATTATTGAGCAAGTACATGATCAATCAGTGTTCAAAACGATCTCCTACATTCAACAATTCATAAGGGTAAGCTTGTAATAATGTTTTCCAAGTTTGCCGCTATTCGTCATTATTCGTCACGTCTGTATATATAAAGGAGTCCCGGCTAGTGAATGCTGCAGGTGGCGGATCATTTGTAGCCTCTTCTTACAGCAGCTGGAATAATTAAACTTGTTATTTTAGAATGAGTTTTAAGGAAATTGATTAAATTGCTTTTTGAGGTTAAAAGAACAATTTCTTTCGATGACATTTGATGACAATTAGGTATTAGATTATACAGAAATTGAAATCTACAGATAACACTAAAACACACTAAATATGTAGTCACACAATGCTGATGTTGTTACCATTAACAATTTGAGAACAAAGTATAACAATAATAATAATTTGCACTGTTTGACGTGATCTGAGCTAAATTTGCGATTGTTAGATTTAATCACCATTGGTAGCACAATTTATTGTAAAACTTTTATTTTTCAGTTGGTCAGAACAAAACTGGCAGACATGTTACTTACTTTTCAGATGACATTTTCCAGCGAAACTTATTATTTTGGACATACTTCCAAGACGTAGTATCTGTAATTCTGAAGTACAGTGAATGTCCACACTGATGAGTTGATTGACAGCCATCACATACACCTCAAAACACTAGATACATCTGCGCTTAGGAGCCGTACTGATGCACAACCCACGCAAAGATAATAATTCCACAAATAACTACAACTGCAGGTTTCGATCATGGTGACAAAGAGGCAAAACTTACAGACTGCAGCTTTAAGAAAACGTGTGCTGTTGCTAAACAGTTGCTAAGGTATTCAGGGTGGTTGCTATGGTGTTATGGGTGGTTTCTAGGGCTTTTCTAGGTTGTTGCTAGGGTCTTCTGAGTGGTTGTTGACTAGCCCAAATCAAAAGAAAGCACATGGTTTTAGGTATCATTCATGTCTATGTAACCCCTCTGGTTCTATTCGCCACACACCAAACAGCATTTACTGTAAGCTGGTGTATCCAGCATGGGAGGTGGGCACACTAACAAGGTTAGTAAAGACCACAAGCTCTAGCGTTAGTCGTTACTGTGCCTCTTGAGATCAGGGGAGTGATGTTTACTTGCACAGCTCTTACTAGCTGGCCTCTTTTACACTTGTCTTAAACCTCACCTCCATCCAGGTCACGCCACCAACGCAACCCCTGCGGTTCTATTTGACCATGGGATTCCAACTAGAGTTTCCGGCATGGGAGGTGGGCACGCCAACAAAGATGCAAAAGACTGCAGCCTCTAGTGTCAGTTGCTAGCGCCCCTTTTGAAATCAGAGGAGTGAGGTTTACCTGCACAGCTCTTACTAGCTGGCCTCCGTTACATCTACAGCACAAATGAGTGTGGGATGAATTTACACATAAGTAATGGGGTTTTAATAAGTAATAGTAGTAGTAACTAATAATTAGTACCTTAGTAAGATCCACTAATTGTTTGTTCTTTTCTTTTATCTATAGTGCTTCAGATGCCAGCAGTGGTCGTCATCACAGTCATGAGCATTATAACCATCATCACCCCCAAACTGATAGCCATCATCATCATTATCCACAACATCAGGATAAACATCACACACCGAAAAAGAAAACTCACTCTAAAGCTTCAGTCACTTCCTCAAACTCTTCTGGGCCTTCCTCTAGTTCTTTGTCAAAGTCTTCATCAAGCTCATCCAGTTCTGATTCCTCTTCTTCTGAGTCCTCTTCCTCCAATTCCTCTTCATCTTCTTCCTCCAAATCATATTTCTCCAGTTCTAGCTTTTCTTCTTCCTCTACCTCTGGTTCATGTTCTTCATGGTCTTCCGAATCCAGTCTGGAAAATGCCCCTTTGCCTACTGAGTCCAAGCGAGCTGTTCAACGTCCAAAGCACTCACAATCATGTATGGATATCAGGAGAGGACGGCGAGCCTTTGAGGATGATGAGGATGATGTAGATACAATGCCTTTATTGGATGCTGATGGCCAACTGAAGAAGTCCACAAGCATAGAAAAGAACCTGACTGTCAAAGAAAAAAGTGTAGGGACTGCCAAGAAGACTGCAACAAATTCTCAACAAAAGAATGAAAAGGGCAATAAGGGGCAACAATATAATCGTGCTAAAGGGGCTGCAAACATAAGAAAGACCAAGTCTATGGAGGTTTTGTCAAGGCAAACAGATCATGCTGGTGTTGGAGACTTGGATGAGAAAGGGCTGGAGAAAAGGAAACAAGAGGCTCATAAGAACTTTGTGAAGGAGAAGATGAAGTTTTCTGCCTTTCTGAATGAAATCACAAGGCAGGTACTTAGCCCATCAAGACTTACATCACTTGGGGTAACAGATGTTCACAGGCCCTTGAGCCCTGGTCAAACTTCCACGTCTCCAAAGGCATTGTCTCCTAAGCCTGAACATAAAAAAGAAAAGAAGTCAAAAATGACCAGAATCTGGGCTGGAAGTAGTGCTAGCTCCATAACATCAACTGCTCACTCTCATGTCAGCAAATACTCACACTCTAGTAAGCATTCTCACTCAAGTAAGCACTCTCACTCAAGTAAGCGCTCCCATTCCAATCGGCACTCACATTCAAGCAAGACCTCCTGCTCGAACAAACATTCTTATCCTGAAAGGGACCTCATCTATCAACAACAGCACCAGGCTGTTCCCAGGCATCGACGTGACAGTGCAAAAAGTTCTTCTTCAAAAGATCTTTCATCTGGGACTGAACATGCCCACAAAAGTCAGAAAAAGCACCAAACTGCCCCCAATGAACATTTCAATTCACTGAATCATCGAACTTCACACCACAAATCGTCTCCATCACACCACCATTACAACGAAGATAATCATAGCTCGCCTTTATGTCCTTGTTCTCCAGAAACAGAAAACCGCCATCATCATGCCCCTCCAGAATCTCATCACCATCATGCCCATTCAGAATCTCATCACCATCATGCCCATTCAGAATCTCATCAACAACATGCCCATTCAGAATCACATCACAATCATGCCCATCGAGATTCCCAACACCACCATGCCCATCCAGAATCTCATCACCATCATTCCCATCCAGAATCTCATCACCATCACGCCCATCCAGAATCACATCACCATCACGCCCATCCAGAATCTCATCACCATCACGCCCATCCAGAATCTCAACACCATCATTCCCATTCAGAATCTCATCACCATCATGACCATCCAGAATCACATCACCATCATGTCCTTCCAGAATCTTATCACCATCATTCCCATCCAGAATCTCATCACCATCATGCTCATCCATCTCATCACCATCATGCCCAACCAGAATCCCTTCACCATCATGTCCATTCAGAATCCCATAACCATCATGCCCAACTAGAATCTGAACACCATCATGTCCATTCAGAATCTCATCACCATCATTCACCATCATATCACCACCATGAAACTAATCGTAGCCCATCACCACACCATAACTCTCTTCATTCAGATTCCCACCATCGTTCCCTTTCTTCATCACATTACCGTCATGAATCTTACCACAGTCCAATACATTCTTCTAAATCAAAAACTCACCATCATCCAGAAGCTCACCACTATCCTTCTCATACAGAATCACACCACCATCATCATTCACCTTCACCACCACATCCCCACCATGGAAGTCACCACACTTCATCTTCACATCATCATTCCACCCATTCAGAAACTTCCCACTATTCGCCTCCTTCTCCTCTCCACCACCATGGAGAACACCATAGTAGTATATCTAATCTTTCTACTGACTCAGAAACACACCATCAGTTTTGTGTGAAATCTCAACACCATCATTCTGACTATGAGTCCTCTCATCCCAAGTCTCACCAGCATCATCACCATCATCATTCCCATCCTAATCACTCATCAAACCCTGATCATCACCATCACACTTCAGTTTCGGAACCAGAGCACCATAATTTCCATGATGATTTACACTCTGAAACTCACCAATACTCTCATTCACATGATGCATCCTCTACACATGAACACCATTATCATTCTTCTCACACTGACACTCACCATAATCCTCATCAACATCACTTGTCTGACAGTCATCCAAAAAGTCCTGTACAATCTAATTCACCACATCATTATGAAAATAATCCCAATTCATATTCAGAGTCCCAAAATCACAGCACATCACATTCTAAAGGACACCTTTCCAATTTGGAATTCCACCGCCAAAGTGATCACAATTCTCCAGAACCTCATCCTAACCATTTCCACTCAGGAAGTCACGATAACCCCCCAGTTGAATCAGATCATTACCGTCACCACAAGTCTCAAGAATCCCACAATTATTCCCATTCAAATGCCCATCACCATTCCAATCCAGAGACTAATCATCCTCAACATCATGAACATTCAGAATCTCATCATCATTCCCAACCAGAATCTCCCCATCATCATTCCCAAGATCACTATAATCACCATGACCATCCAGAATCGCAGAATCAACGTTCCCATATGGGACATCACCAATTTCATTCTGAATCAAACCATTATCATTCCCACTTCAAAGAGGATGATCACCCAAGCCATCTTCGCCACTCACCAATTGGCCAACGGTCTACTTCTCCACATTCTAACAAGTCAGATTCATCTGCTAGCGCCACTATCCAGGACGATCAATCCACAGTGAGCTACCAAGAGTCATCCTCATTCCCAAAGGTGAGAATTTTTTCCATAGTGTTGAAGTAGAATGAAAATGTATAAAATGGATAGTTCCAGTCCTTGATTCGGATTGGTTGGGCTTCGTTTGAAGCTGTTGTAAATTACTCTACAAACATACACCTCTTTGTTTCTGTGTGTTACTTTGCAACTACATTGTTGCAACCACAACCATTTCTGAGGAACTACATTGTTTGGCGGAGGAAAGTTTTTATTAAAATCATTACATTTGATTTGCTTTGTTTTATTTTGTACAACCTTGCTACGTATATGGAATAACAGTTTTATTACGGCTAAGGCGGTTTTAGGCAACAACGCCCCTTAGCTGTTATAAATTCACTGTAAACCATGACTTCTTGGAGCTTATTGCTTTGGTATATATTTATATATACTGATGATTATTTGCTGTTGTGGTTTTACACATTTGACTCTGCCTTCATGTTTACACAGGAAAAGGATTCAGAATTGGAGAGGTTAATGTGAGTTTTTGTTTCTTTGCATTCTTTTTTGCATGCTGCCTGCTAAAGTACTAATTGCCTTACCTTTGGTTCTGGACATGACTTTTCAGCTTAGTCTGGGTGGTAGAGAAACAATTTGCTTTAAGACGCACTCAGATACAAATGATCCCTTCTTGGCATGTCATAGCTCGTAAAAGCGTTCTGTATCTTGCAGTTTGTGTTTTCTTGGAGGCATGCTTGATGGACTGTCTGTATGTTTATTCCATCCAGGATGTTACAGGAGCAGAATGAGGCTCTCCAACACAACTTGCTGCAGACCACTATGCGAATGGAATATATGGGAGCTGAGTTCAAAACCGGACACCAGCTGCTTGAATCTGAGTTACAAAGAACTCGCGTAGAGCTTAGCAGCTTAATGGAGTGGTTCACAAGGTGAGACACAAGACTAAACTGTACTGTGCTATCACATTCTATTTTATTTTATTCTATTCTATTAGACCTGCTCAAAAATACAGTTTTAGCATAATTTGAGCTAAAACTTCAGCCTTGTTTAAAAACAGTCAGGGTTTTTGGTCCTGTGGCCAATGAACATGCTTCAGCATGCACTATATACATACACTACATTAACTAATTTAGTAGACCATATATTTTAATGCTGAATAGATATATAAAGAGGATATATGAGGGCAGTCTCGACCATGCTGAATTTTATAACAAAGACTAATTTAAGACATTTAACAACAAATCTGTTGCTTTAGCTTTTGATGGTTTTATGTAAGATTTGCTCTATCAAGAGAAACAGCACTGAAGATTTCACTTTTTCATCTGAGCTAATCCATACTTCACTCAAAAAAATTTGTGAGCTTAATGTGCATTTGTAGTGTACTTAAAGACGGACAATTTCATGTGTCATAAACTTACGTACACTTTTAAAAAGTGCACTTTGTAATGTCAATTTAAAAGTTTTACTTTAAAGTACATTCAAATCATTATGTTTGAATAATCTTTTGTTGTTAATTTTCTTTAAAGAACAACAAAGGGAAAACTACGGGTTTAAGTACACAAAGCAAACAAAGGAACTGAGGAGTTAATTAACTAGACACAGGTGAATATAATGGTGAATAAAGACAACTCAGGAAACTTGGTCAAAGGGAGCAGAACTAAAAGGAATATCCAACTGAGGAGGGAGGGTGGGGGCTCAGGAGGAGGGCGCAGAGCAAAAGAAAAAGGCTGCGTTCCACTCACATTTAGACATGCATTTGCAAACTTCCCTAAGCATTTCCTCACGGGGGAATCCCCGCTGCCATTTTGAAGTGCATTCCACTTCGTGAAGTGGATGAGGGAAGTTTATATGGACAGACCCTCGACCCCTTGATTTTGAGCGCACGTACACACACACACACACACACACACATAGAATGCTGCATCAAACAAATTCATAAGGAGAAAAATTTAGACAATAATCCAACTCCATAGCGGATGCTAAGTGATCAAGGGATTAGGACGTTCCAATTCAGCCCATTCCAAGGGTTCCGTCAGAAGTGGGCACTCATGCAACATAATCAATGAAGTACATCCGAGTAAATGAGATGGAGGGAAGTTTGTGAGTGAAGGGCATTTAAATAAAAATGGACTGGAATGCAGCCAAAGAGTCCAGGACAGAAGATACAGTCCATGGGGGAATGGATGGTGGGAGGAGCCAGTGAGGAGCCAAGAACAGGATGGTAATCAAGAGGCCAGCCAGGATGAGGCCCCAGGGTGAAGTAAAAGGTGAGAGGAGACATGGTGGAAATTACTTGATAGGAGATGACACCCTGGGGACCACCGATGGAGATGCAGCCACGAATTATGGAGACCCAAGTGAAGCTGATGAGCTGAAAAGCCCACGCGACACTGATGGTCCTGGAGACCGAGGTGGAACCAGGGAACCAGAGAACAGTAGCTGAACTGGCGGAACCGAGGGTGAAGGTGGAGGCAGATGGAGCCGAAGGTGCAGGCAGGTCAATGGCTAACAAAGGTGGAGCCGGAGGGACGAGGGAGCCCAGAGAAGCCATATGGCCGATGGTTTTCGGCTGAGCCAAGGGAAGGGCTAAGGTGGAGCAATGGGTATGGAGGCTAGAGTTGGAACCAGGGGATCCTCTGTACTGGGTGGAGTTGATGGCCTAAAGACAGTGGGCAGGTCCTCCATGTCAATGGGAGCTGCAGAGGGGCTGAAGGACAGCAGCAGAAGTGGAGCTGAGGAACTGGCTGATTGAGGAGGTGGGAGAGGGAGGCTCGGTGGGAACTTGGGAGACACAGGAAGCTCAGAAGATGCAGGAGAGCTGGACGGAACCAGCGGAAAGGAGAATTGCGTTTTACCTCCTCAAACCGGTCAATAACATCCTCCTAAAAATGTGTCCTTAAGTTCCTCAAAATATCCACCAGAAGCCATATCAGATTCACACACAGCAAGTGGGCAGGGCTTTCCTCCCAGTCCTCGAGCTCCACAAACACTCCTTCGGCGATCCACGGAGTTGCCGGCTCACGCACCTGGTCAGACTCATGCTGTGGAACGGGCTCCGGGGCGATGGCTCCCTCATAACTCTTCCTTGGTTCAGGCTCGTCCATCGCAGTAGTCTCCACGGGCTGCGATGGGCTCTAAAAGAATCCCTGTCGGTTCGCTCGCTGGTTGATGGCTGGTCTCTGGTGGCGCTGGAATCGGAGCGGTGCTGGTGAGTTCTTCTTCAGTGGGGCAGACATTGTACGGGGATCCGTTGCACACCAGCACCCACTCAACAAATTTGGTGAAAGATTCCCAAGGACCCACACCGGGCAGTTGAGCCTTTGTTTGCTTGTTCATACTGGCCAGGTAGAATGAGCACAAAGAGCAATTGGGAAAGTTTGTTAGGCTCGCTAGATAGAGGAATCTACAGGTGTGGGCCTCTAGGTTTTTCTGCTCCTGTTCCAAGCATAGCAGTAGTGCAAATGAGTCCATGCTGATCAGTAAAGGGTCCGTTCTTCTGTAACGTTTGGTAGTATAAAACACTCACACGATATGAATAAGACTATAATACGAAGAAATAGTCTATAATAATAAACCAGTAGATACTGTACATACAAAATAATCAACAAGAACAGACAGAGACAAAGGCAGAACTAAGGGTTTAAGTACACAAAGCAAACAAAGGAACTAATGAGCTAATTAACAAGACATAGGTGTATATAATGATGAATAAAGACAACTCAGGAAAACTAGGTCACAGGGAGCAGAACTAAAACCAATAAAAACAGAACATACTAGACATGTAACATCATGTAAAGAACTTGATTATAATTTTAACTGTAGTGTTATTTGGTATAATAATTTATACATTATGAGCTATTAATTATTAAATCACATATAAAGATGTACTTAAATGGTTCAGAAAACACTCTAAAGTTCAGCTAATTGCATTTAAATGAGTCATATGATGCGATTTCAAGTTTTCCTTTCTCTTTGGGCGAGGGAGCGAGTCTGCTTCATATGCACACTTCAGGGCGCTCCATAGACCACAATGCAACACAATTATGTCGCTACAGATTGAGTTTAATTTATCCCCACCCCAAACAACTATAATATATAAATGATTTTTTTTTTACATTTATAACAGCCCAAACTATCATTAAGATTACTTACAACAGAAAAGCAATGCATTTTATGGACGACCGTTTCGTGAACTTAGTAGAGGAGGTAATTCTGACTTTGCTATGACTATCTGGCGCTTCTGAATCAGCTACTGTTTTGTTATTAGTTTAAGTATTTGCTATTGACTGTTCAAATGCGTTTATTTGGCCTTCCGAAAGTAGATGCGTTTAGGAATCATTAAGATTACTTACAACAGAAAAGCAATGCATTTTATGGACGACCGTTTCGTGAACTTAGTAGAGGAGGTAATTCTGACTTTGCTATGACTATCTGGCGCTTCTGAATCAGCTACTGTTTTGTTATTAGTTTTAAGTATTTGCTATTGACTGTTCAAATGCGGAGTATTGAGCATCCTGTGTGTGTGTGTGTGTGTGTGTGTGTGCGCGCGTGCGCGCGTGTGTGTGTGTGTGTGTGAGAGAGAGAGAGAGAGAGAGAGAGACAGGGTCACATCACAGTGGAGTCAGCTGTCTTAACCGTGGCTTGTGTACTGCAAACACATACCAGCTTCATCACTGTGTCTGTCACGCAACTCTGTTCCCCTTTCGGGCTCTGTCTTTACATTTATTTTGAAAGATGAAGCTCGCGATTATGGTAAGGGGCGTTACATTTCCGACGAGTGCTTGCAGTGTTCGGCCAATCACAATGCACTGGGTCAGCTGGCCAATCAGAGCAGACTGCGCTTGTCGGAAGGAGGGACTTTGTAGAAAACGAAGCGTTTGAGAGAGGCGGGGCATAGAGGACCTACAATAATGTACAGTATTTGAAAAATAATGTGTTTTTTGAACATTAAAGCATGTCAACATATTCTGTTACACCAAATACACAAAATAATGATCTTTAAAAAAAGCATCATATGACCCCTTTAATAAAAATTTAAATGCTAATATATTTTCGTATAATTCCAATGAATTTAATCAGTTAAAACACAATATTCAGTTTGCTCTTAAGTCTATTCTTTTAAAGTATATTATTTTCATAATAAATAATCTTTTTAAAATTTGGCTAAAGTGTACTTATTTTTTTACAATGGTGAGTGAGCTATTTATGCTTTGGATCTCTGTTTAACCACGAGGTAAGCTTGCACTTGTCAAAAGGGTGATTGTAATGTTATTTCTGTTTTTAGTTAAAGACAAATTGTATATTTGTCATTATTTAAAATAAAACCTGGACCAACCAATCATTGATTTGCTCTAAACCAGGGGTGTCAAACTCAAACTAAATTCCTAGAGAGCCGCAGCCCTGCAACCCTAAGTAAACACACCTAATTCAGATAATCAGGTCCTCCAGATGAACCCTGCGTTCCATTCGGAAAGGCTCATCCCTATGCCCTAATCCCTTCAAAGTGTTTAATAATTTATGCACTTAGCAGACGCTTTTATCCAAAGCGACTAATGCCGAGTTCACACTGCATGATTTTCAAAGACGTCGCATCACTGTTGGTTTCACACGGAACGACTGGGGTAGCATTCAGTTGTTGCTGTGTTCACACTGCACGATGGAACGAAGACAGGAGGTTACACACTGCATGACTTTACAATAGGAAGAATCGCCGACAGCTCTGTCTGGTGCAGGGTTGCCAGGTTTTCGCTACAAAACCCGCCCAATTACTACTCAAAACTAGCCTGAAAATAGCCCAATTGCTTTCGATGGTGTCCCCCAGTAAAAATCGTGTTCGGGGGGTTAAATACACATTCTTCTCCTGGTACCAGTGTTGTACCAGTTCTCCTGGTACAATTCACATTCCAGGGCCTAAATATCACGTTATTGGGGTCGCTTCAACCTGCTGACAGAAAAAACAACCGGCGGCAATCGTGGTTTTGGCAACACTGGTCCGCAAACTACGTTTCATAAAACTCCTCCCCGAACTTCCCGCTGCCCTGTATCTTGGTCTCTCATTGGTTGTAGTTCATCGCTGATGTGTTTTTCAGTCAGAACTCATTTCACACAGCATGATTGTGAATCGACAGCTCCAGATATTTAGCATGCCAAATATTTCACGGGCGTCAGCGAAGTGTCGGCGATTCCCACAGATCGCATCTTTGATAATTCACACTGCGTGATTGTCACTCGCGTGAATGAGCACCGATTTGCAAAACCTGTCGGCGAGTGAAAAATCGGGCTAAAATCGTGCAGTGTGAACTTGACATTACAGTGCATTCAGGCTATACATTTTTTACCAGTATGTGTGTTCCCTGGGAATTGAACCTACAACCTTTTGCGCTGCTAACACAATGCTCTATCACTGAGCCACAGGAACAGTTTACCCTCCGGAGTGAGAGCTTCAAAGGGTTGAAGGGTGTAGGGGACCAAACAACTGTTTCTTGAAGTGCCCTTCTGCGTCATCATCAAGTTCCCACACGGAGGCACCGTCATCATGCAAAGAATCTGTGCAAAGGATCATGGGAGCCCGAAGTGTCCATCAGTTGTAGCCTTCGATATCCTCCTTCCCGAAGGGCCCTTTGAAGTGGCCAGTTTTGAGCACTTCGGTTTGGAACGACCCTTCAATATGGCGGCTATGATTGTATACACTCCGAAGTGCCCTTCGGAGGGCGATATATCACGTTTGGAACGCACCGTTATTTGAAAACTACATGGTATGTGTGTTTGAGCAGGGTTGGAACTAAACTGCAGCCCTCCAGGAACTGAGTTTGACACCCCTGCTCTAAACCATGCTTAATTTAGTGCTACCCAGTCTGTGTTTAGAACATGAAATTTGTAGTTTTTTCAAAGCATTCATGTGAATATATTATATAGATTTCTATGTCTTTCTGTTTCATCAGACTTCAGGACAACTACTCCTGCACAAAACAAACCAATCACCTTCTGGAGAAAAAACTGCATTGTGTGGTAAAGCCCAATTTAACCCTTCAGACTTATTTAATTGTTCCAGCCTAATTAAGCCCATTTATTTAAATGGGTTCATAATTACATTATATCAGTAGGCCATTGATTTACATAAAAACTTTAAAATTCCAACAAATTATTATTGACTGTATTCACTTTCCTGTCTTTTTTGCTACTTCAATTTAGGCTCAAAATATGGATGGAGAGCGAGAGCGACTGAACGAGCGGATCTCAGAGCTCACAGAACAACTGTCTGCAGCAAAGACAACCATCCAAAGTCTAGAGACCATTAATGTGAGAGTTTGATTTCATTATAATTAGTAATATTCATATTTGACGCCCTTCATAGTACATAGTTACTTTAAATATTTCCATTCAAAAATATCATAGCTCAGTCAAGATACTGAATATGATGAATATAAAGGGTTATTTTACAAAAATAAATAAAGATTGTGAGAAAAACTCACAGTGAGGAATTTTGTGATTTCATTCCCTTTAATAGCAAATTTATTTTAGAAATAAAAAGCATATTGACATTTGTATATTTTGCTTTTGGAAATGTTCCTCACAACATTTGGTCTTATTATTCAAATCTTTTGTATTACATAAACTCTTACATACAATATTTAGTTCATTCGTGCTTATTTCAAATATGTCTCTAACGAGAATGAGTTGGCTTAATTTAAGACATTCCTGTACCTTTAGGTGACATCAATGCTACAGGATGCCCTGGTGAAACATTTGAAGTCTGATGATCCCATCTCTCCACTTCCAGTTGCACCACCTCCAGCTCAGTTCATGGACAGTAATCATTATGACAAAATCTCCATGCATGCCGATGACCAATCGTTGGGAACCCTCCCAGAGGAGGAGGAATCTGATTGGTCAGAAATGGGAGATGAGGCACAAAACTGCATCTCGAGAGGTTCACAGGGAAGTCATGGAAATGCGTCGTATTTCCAATGGCAACAGAGCCAAGGCAGTTGGGAGGGGATGAACCAGTATTCGAAGGGAATCATAGATACAGAGAGCGAATCTGGGGGCGAGGAAAGCAAATGTTATCAAGCTCATGGCCTACAGATACCACATCTCAAATTCACCGTTCACCCTGAAACCCTGCCGGTTCCTATCGAGGATGCCAGCCTGGCTCGCTTCAAGCAGAGTCCTGATGGTCCAGTATTCGATAGCTATCAGATCATACAGGTACGTAACCTGGGCTCTCCCATTCGCGTACTCTCTGCTAGCCTGGAAGAGATCCATTCCATTGGGCTTCTGAAGCAGCAAGAGCAGCAGCAGGATCATCACGGCCATCTGAGGAGCGATAAATCCATGATGGACCTCTACCAGTCACAAGCCGGCACCAGATAAGTGTTGTACGCAGATGAGATGGTATGTAATTGGAGAGAAGTGAACAGCCATGGTGCTGGAGAGGATAGAAATGGGATGGTTGGTTTGGAGTCTGCTAAAAAATTCTCAACCACTTTAGTGGGGAGAGTACACACTTGTGATTAAAGGGACATTTTAGAATGAGGAATGTTTACTATATATTGATAATTATAGTACTTATGTAGAAAATATTAGTGGTGAGGTACAGGTTAGCCACTTTGGCAACTTACATTTTATCATTGGTGCATGAAAAAATTGGAAGAAAATAGTGAGGAAAAATCATAATGTGTTTATTTTGAATTAAATGGCAAAAAGTGGGATTTTGAGTTGAGATTTTGTGAAGCTGTAACTTTCCACCTGCTATTAAATTTGATGTAATTTAAAAAGTATTAATACTTTTAATTTTTAATGTTTGAGTTCTGGAACATTAATTAATTAGTCATTGTAATCTTTCACCAAAATGTAACTTGCTCCACCTCTAAAACAACTGTCAGCTGGCATCACTTGCTAATAATGCTAAGGCTAATAATAACCAAATAGCTATTTAGGCATTGTTTTAGGCTACTGTATATAAAATTGTATAAAATCTTACTAATAGTTAATGCAGCAATTTAATGCTGGTTGATGTTTATTAAGAAAAAAAGAGATTTAAAAAAGAAGCATTAACTATATATGCCAAGATAGTTTAACTTGGCTTTGAGCCTCGCTTCCCAGCAAATAGGGGCTCCAATTAATATGAGGATCAGCTGTATGCTCACAATTTAGGACTGCTTGTGCTCTGTTTACGTTCTAATTAATTCCCAATAGATAAAATCAAGCCCCCACCTTTTCCCCGGAATATGCAGTTTTTAGTATAGGAAAAATGTCTCATTAGAGAAGTAAAACTGACTGCATATGCTGTTTCATTGAAGATTGTTCTGTTTAGTTTAGAATCACAATGACCGATATTTCTACGGTTCTCTTCCAGCATCTGATCCATCTTGTTTTACCTGTCTTTTACCTGTGTTGTTGAAGTATGTAGTTTTTTGGTTTGTTATATAAAGACAAAACACTGCATCAAATAATGAACAAAAGCTACAAAAAAACAAAACAAAACTGCTCCTTAGATATTTATGTACGGAAATCACACTTTGTTTATCCCGTTTTCTCGCACAGAGCACAAACAGTCCAGAGATGCACTCGCGCAGAAACTTGTCATCAGCGCTGCCCCGCAAATTTATCAGTAAAAAAAGTTTTGCAGCTGAAAAGCTACATAATATTTCTCTCAGTAGTGAGGTTCTTGAAGCAGTTCAACTTAAAGATTCGCTATTAGTAGATGCTGCTGCTGAATGCTGCTGAGAGACGCACAGACTTAATCTCTCTCTCTCCCTCTCTATCTCTCTAATAACTGCGTTAGACTGCATTAATAATTGCATTAGCCTGCATATCAATAGCTCAAGCCTCTGTTATTATCTCTAAAATGACGTTTTGGAATTTGCAACGGAAGGATTGGGATGAGGTGCGTAAAAACTTAGCTATTTTAACACACGCGAGATTTCAGGACAGAAACATGTCAAATGTCTTGAAACAAATCATCTGAACAACTGATGTGTGATTGTGACTCCAGGCCGTTAAAATCATTAGAGAAATACTGCACTCCCGCAGTGGTTATGTCGCCACATCGCTGCGCCTATTAATTTTTTCTCAGTTCTCAAACAAATTAAGAACTACATTCGATTTTTATTGACTTTATTGACGCAAGCACTTATTGCGATAGAAAACACTTTAACAGTTTCCACTGATTAAGAAATAATTTTGTTTGCTTGGGTGGTAATATTAGGCCTATTATATTAATAGGGAAGGGGGGCCCAAAAATGTGTTTTGCCTATGTCACGAAAAGAGGTAGGCTAAATCCGGCCCTGGTTAAAGGAGAGAGTAGGGAGTGAAAATGAAGGAAATGGGAGTCACTATAAGACTAGACTACTTCACATAGGTTTTTTTATTTTTTTTGAAAGATTAAAAGATTATAGGAAAAATGTTACCCATTTGATATAGTTAATCCCAATATATATTTTCTCATTAGAAAAATGCTAATGTATGTTTTAGATGTAAATGTCTGTATGCTATTCTGTAGTTATACTAATGGTAATATAATTGAGCATTAAATAAAAAGCACATTGCATTCTTTTGGCAAACTCCAGGTGTAGCAGGATGTTGTAATTGAATGTCATTTTGATTTGACTTTTTTATTTGTTTATGTAAAGATACACCCGCTTATTATGATATACCAGCAGTATAATGCATTTTGTCTTGCTGTTGAAGTGTGTATGTCTGTAATTATTAGCATGTTGATATAAATAAAAGTAGAAAAAACTATGTTGGGAATCTCTTTGAAAGGAGAAAATGGTCATATTAATGTGTATTGTATGTATTTAGATACAGTTTCACCTGATTTCTTATACCTGACAATTAAGATAAAGATAAATCCATACCTAACAGAAAATAAATCTGAAAAACATATCATAGTACTATATAAAGTAAAGTTGATTAAAGTCTTTGGTAATCAGTATTTGATTTTTTAAAAACCCTTTTTACATGAATAGTTAATTTTATTTTTCCATGCAGTGTAAAGAACTCAATTATAAAAAGTTATTTTTATTATTTTTTTAATTATAAAATTATTTAATGTAGTCTCCCAATTAATATGAAGTCATAGAAGCTGCATGCAAACAACTAAAAATAATTCACAAAATGTTGTTTAAAATAATAACAAACTTACAGTTGGAATGTAGCATGTCACACCACAAAACATTAAATAATTCATATTTCTAAAAATATTTAATGTCAACTAACTAGTCATTTAAATAAAACTGGAATTAAATCAAAAGCCAATGATTTCTTAGCAAAGTTCAAAAACAGCTATTTCTCATCCATCACACAAAACGTGAAGGGCAATGATGTTTGCTAGGACCGCAAACAGGCTGCAAACGACTATTTAGTTAAAAAGCTGAGAAGATTTAAGAATGACTTGATTTTATTACATTGTAATAAATTATTATTATTGTTATTATTATTATTATTATAAAAAAGGTCCTAGGTTCCCATAAAGGGTGAATCCTTTATTTCTTTAAATTTTTTAAGAGTGAAGTTCATTGATAAATAACATTTTGCCATCTGTTCCACAAATGGGTTAAGGTTAGAAAGTGCAGAAAATCAATACAAATAAATGATGTATAAATTACAGTTTTTTAGGCCCACTGTCTAAATAGCGTTATAGATTTACATTTAAGTACAAGAACAGGACCTGCCCTTTCATTTACATGAGCCACATTTTAAAATGAATGAGTTGTTTGCGAAGGGTCAAGTTGGCGCTGAAATTATGGCTGCTCTCATGCCTCAATAAATTGATTATCTTCACTTCTGAGACTCCCTATAACTAGATTGACCTTTGAAGGAAGGCAAATCCCAGCCCTTCCAATCTCTTCCTTGTCGTTATTCATCATCTTTATCCTCTACAAACGTGACGCAATGCAGCGATGCACCACTGGCTTTGCTGGGCAGACAGTGGCCTTGTTTCCCATTGGAGAGGGCCGTTGTAATAGGATAGTTTAGGGATTACAGGTAAGACGCCCAAGACCTCTAACTTTGGCCAAATCCAGTGTGTCTCACCCAACCATGGGCATGGAGGTGCAAGGGCACCACTCTCACCATTGAGTGGGCATCTGGCTCATTTTAGCATCGCTACGGGGGGATCACCACCAAAAAATCTGGACTGACCTTTGCTAACAGATTAAATGACAACAACATACAGAATATCGGCTGCGCTGTTTGAATGAAACTGAATTGATCTCGTATTCTAACAAAGAAAGGGAACTTAACGGATTTACACAAAGTTACCTATTTTTTCACAGATCATTTGAAGCGCCAGCAGTTTCAGTCTGATTCTCAGCACCTCTTTCAGAGAGTTCGCATTTCGACAACGTTTGAACACTTCTGCATTTTTTCCACACTCTACTAGTCTTCCTTTTTCTCGGGTTTACATCACAATACTCTTTCACAATGGTTGTGGGTAAGATGAAGTTCACTTTTCAGAAAAGGGCCAAGCTGGCACAGGGTTTGTGGCTGCTCTCATGGTTGGCAACTCTGGGTGGAGCGGTTACCTTCACTTTAGGATGCTTCCTAAAGACTGAGCTTCGAAGGAGGGGAGAGGTATCCATATAACCCTCATATTTTTAATTTGCTTTTTGTTTCTTTGCCATTAATTTAATGCATTACATAATGACGTCCTGATTAGTTTGGAATTTCAAAACTGGCATTGACATTCAATCTTTAGCAATTAACATTTTGTACAGTTTGCATGTTTTTTAGTGTCTTTGATTTAGTTTATATAAGTTTATAGAATCTTTATCTTAATTGACAATAAATTGTAAGACATTGTAAATGTCTTAATAAACAAATATGTGAAGAGCTCAAACGTTTCAGAAATATCTGGCAGGGATTAACCTATGTGAATATAAATATGATCTAAGCTGGTCATAATAGGCTTAAGGAGCTGTCCTTCACAAAGGAGCTCTTCAACAGTCTAGATGGGTCATTATCAACCTGATGATAAAGACTGGCATCGGTCTTAAGCAGGACATATATAATTTTGTAGTTTTACAAACCATTATTTTAACTGACATGCACGTTTACGCATAGCATGATACTACAAATAATTTTTGCATGTTCTTCATTATATATTAACTAAGGGTGTACTCACACTAGGCGTTTGACCCCCAAATCCCGGTTTGTTTGCCTAGTGTGAGCGCTCCGTGCCGTGCTCGGGCGTAGTTCGTTTAGCCGGCCCTGGCCCGGTTGGAAGAGGTGGGCCAGGACACAGTTCGGTTGGGCTCAGGCGCGGTATGCATGCAGTGTGAGCGCTAACCGCGCCGGAGCATGGAACAGATACTATTTTGTGTGGGCTACTGTCATCATTATGACCGCAAACATATTCTATTACTGCTACTACACTGCACTTTTCAATTAATTTAATTCAATCAAGTATATTTACGTTTATAATGGGTCTGGTTCTCACCTTATTGATGAACTGGAATTAGTCTGCGATTTAAAGCTGCAGATTCTTTCATTAACGTCAGCTGCCTCCGTAATAATTCTCTTATATTTACAAGTGAAATCAAGGCACGGCATAAATTACAAATTTATAAGGCAGAATATTAGCAAAAGTGGGTTTCTCCGTTATCTCGCACATGACGTAAGCGTGCTCTGGCCCGGAAAATTTAGTGCAAGTGTGAGTGCAGGCCAGTGGGGGAGTGGCAACCATGCCTAGTGTGAGTACACCCTTAACGACCCATTTACATTAGTGCGTTTTCGTTTTAAGACACATACCTTTTGCTACGGTTATGCCTATTGTTTACATTACTCCGGCGTTTTCCACCTTCGAAAACGGAGACTTTTGAAAATGATGCAGACCCCGTTTTAGTTTGAAAACGTCTCCGGTTACTATCGTAACCTCGGTTCCCTGAGAGCGGGAACAAGACATCACGGAGACATTTATCCGTTATGGGAACTCCTTCCCTTCCAACCTTTCCAGAAGTCCTATTGGTTCACGCCAGTCCATAGTCACGCCAGAACGATATTCAATCCCGCCATGAGAGAGGCTACGAGCAGCCTGTACAAGTCACATACTCAGCGAAGATAGAACACACAATACCCACAACCAATAGCGACGCTTGTTAGGCGGGCTTGCAGCTGATAGGTGGAGACAAGCCAATGAGCGTCTAAAGCCCAGGTATATACGAAATTTGCATATCTGGTCAGTGATAATGTATGCTGCGCTGAGAAACAGGGCAGAAGCAACAACAATCACAGTATTGTGAGGGGGGGGGGGGCTGCACAGAGATAACGGTGTTAAGCAACAGTATAACACATAAGATGAAAATGGTACACCAATCGAATTAGACACTGAATAGCAGGAGCTGCACTGAGTACAGGGCAGACAACAGCAACAATAGCATATAGGGCTGCGCAGAGTAATTACTGTGCGAGGCAGCAAACACATGAATAGAGGTAGCATAAACGTGAATCAGTCACTCACCGGCAGCACTTGGGAGGCTAAGGACTGAGCGTCCAGCTTGTAAAACCTGGCGAAGGTATTCTGAGAAGACCAGCCGGCTGCAAAGCATATATCCTGAATAGACATACCTCTCGACCACGACCAGGAGGAGGCGATAGCTCTTGTTGAGTGGGCCCTAATGTGCAAAGGACATTCCAAACCTTGACTCGTATAACAGCCGTGTTAGTGTCCACAATCCAGTGGCAAAAGCCTCCTTTTTGACATGACCCGGCCCTTCGCACAACCACCGTAGCACACGAAAAGCTGGTCAGATTGTCGAAAGCTGGCAATAGAACGGTCAATGAACATCCTCAAAGCCCTGATGGGGCACACCGAAATCTGAGTGTCCGCATCACGCGAGGTTGGTGACTCAGAAGAAAGGGCAGACAGTGAAACAGTCTGTGCTCTGAAAGGGGTAGATAGTGATTTGGGCACGTAGCTCGGTCTCGGCCGGAGAGTGACGCTGCAGTTACCGGGTCCGAAGCGAATACAATCGCTGTCCACAGAAAACACATGAAAATCCCCTATGCGCTTAGCTGAAGCAAGGGCAAGAAGAAATGCAGTTTGAGATATAGCTCCTTCATAGCAATGGATGCTAAAGGCTCCAATGGTGGTTGTGAAAGAGCTCTTAACACCACCTCTAGGTCCCAGGGTGGAACTGAAGGCGGACGCGGGGAATGCAACCTCCTCGCCCCCTTAAGAACACTCACCACCAGAGCGTGCCTACCGATCGATTGCCAGCCCAGCGGGGAACGAAACTAGGCAATAGCGGCCAGTGTTGATGGTGGACATCCACTATCAAGCCTGTACTGTAGAAAACGCAGAACATCTGACACGGAGCAAGCAGCCGGGTCGATATGAACATCACGGCACCACAAACACTCCCCATTTTAGAGTGTAGAAATGTGTCGTGGAGGGCATCCGCGCCTCCGAGAGCGTATCAAGCACATGAGAATGCAGGGCGGTCAGCTCCTCTGATATCCCCGAAGCAGCCACAAATGATGGCTCAATAACTCCGAGTTGGGGTGCCACACCGAGCCGCTCGTTTGAGACAGCAGATCCTTCCTGATGGGGATCGGCCAGGGTGGCGCCACCAGCAGCTTTGTCAGCTCCGGGAACCAAGGCTGGTTCGGCCAGTTCGGGGCGACGAGTGTCACCGAAGCCTCCTCCTCCCTAACCTTGCATATCACCAGCTGCATTATCTTGATTGGAGGAATGCATACAACCTAGCTGCTGGCCAGCGCAATGTCAGAGCGTCCCCTTCCAGCCGGGAGTGAGACAGGGTGAAGAACAGCGGGCAGTGCGCATTTTTGCTCATGGCGAACAGATCCACCTCCGCTCTCCCCTAGTGGGTCCAAATCATCCGAACTGACTCGGAATGCAGCCTTCACTCTCCTTGAGGAATCCCCTTCCTTAAAAGCATTTCTGCCCCACGGTTCAGGAGACCGGGGATGTGCGCTGCTCTGATGGAGAGAAAGTGACGGTCCATCCATAGCAGGAGATTCGCTGCCTGCTTGTACCGAGCCTTGGATCGTATGCCCCCTTGTTGATTTATGTACGACACCACAGACGTTGTCGGTGCGAATCAGTACATGTCGCTGTTCCAGCTGCGGCCGAAAATCCTTTAGAGCTAAGAACACTGCTTCCAGCTCCAAGCGGTTTATGTGCCACCGGCTCTGAGGTTCTGACCACAGCCCTGAAGCCGGCATGTCCTCGCACACTGCTCCCCATCTGCGAGTCGACACGTCCGTCGTGACCACGACACATGACGTCATCAAGCCCAGGGGAAGCCCCCGGCTGAAGAGATCTTTGCCTTCGATGCAGCCGCGGGAGACCGCGATGTGCAAACGGTCCAAAGTCCACGCCGTCCAAGGGACTCGAGATTTCAGCCATAACTGTAGCGGGCGCATGTGTAGTAAACCCAAATGACATACTGATGCCGCTGCCATGAGTCCCAGCAGCCTCTGACATTGCTTCAAGTGAACAGAGCTGCCCAGTCTGAAGTGGTGCAGGGAAGACAAAATGGCCACCGAGCGCTCCCGAGAGAGGCGAGCACGCATCTCCACTGAGTCGAAGCACACTCTCAGATACGTTATAGACTGACTCGGGGCGAGAATGCTCTTACGCACATTCACACATAGCCCAAAGAACTCCAAGTGATGAAACAGTTTGTCTATATGGCTGTCTATAGTGTGTCCCGTGACTGAGCTAAGATCAGCCAGTCATCCAAATAATTGAGAACACGCATCCCACTCGCTCTGAGGGGGGCGAGAGCTGCGTCCATGCACTTCGAGAAAGTGCGCGGGGCCAAAGCCAGCCCAAACTGGAGAACAGAGTTCTGGTACGCTGTGCCCTCGAAAGCAAATCTCAGAAAGCGTCTGTGATGCACTGCTATCTGAATGTGAAAGTACGCATCCTTTAAATTCACAGACGCAACCAGTAACCGGGGCGAATTCGCGCCAGGATCTGTTTTATCATGCTGAACGGACGCTTGCAGAGCACTCTGTTGATGGGCCTGAGATCTAGAATCGGGCGGAGTCCTCCATCTCTCTTGGGCACCACAAAATGGCAGTTGTAAAACCCGCTCTCCAGCTCGCTCGGAGGGACTCGTTCTATCGCTCCTTTTTCGAGCAGGTTGCATACCTCTTGTCTCAGAACCAGGGCATTTTGAGGCAATGTTAGAGACTTCACTACGTCGTTGAAACAGGGTGGTCTGCGTCTGAATTCAAGGGCGTACCCACGCTCTATCACACCGAGTAACCAGCACGAGATTCCCGGAATAGTTTTCCACGCGCTCAGGAACTGACATAGCGGCTTTAGCGGCTTGGTCGTTGGATGCGGCGGCGAGTGCTGCGCGGCTATAACATATGTGAGCAGCGGCTCTGCACTGCTCTGAGGCGGGGCGAGCGGCGCTACATTGACTGAGTGAGGAGGAAAAAGCTATTTTGTGCACATGTATGCATTTTTTAATGATCCCACACACACATCAAACACAAATTTGAACAAGCTCCTCCACTTGCCGTAGTGCCTCTTCCCGGGTTCCTTTACACATTTCTCCGCACATCCGGCTCCTGGCAGCAGCTGTCGCAGGCCTGGTGTCCCTGCACTGCGATGAGCCATGCGCCAAAGAAGACCTCGATCTCGCAGTCTGCTGCTTTTTAACCGGTGTGGGCGGTGGCATCTGCGCCTGTCACTACAGACTGTGAATGGCTATACGCCCTAGTTGAACACCACTTCGTAGGGGCGTGAACAACTGACGTAATATTCCAGCAAAATCTGGAAGGCTGATAAGACGCGCGCCTGGGCATCAGGTGACTCCTCGCCTTTGCACGCTTTTCCGTACAGTCGCATCAGGTGACTCCTTGCCTTCGCGCGCTTTTCTGCACAAGGGCATCAGGTGACTCCTCGCCTTCGCACGCTTTTCTGAGCAGGGGCATCAGGTGACTCCTTGCCGCTTTACTGCTGGTGAGTGGGTAAGCGACTGAAGCGCTTGTCACCGCACTGAAGCGGGGGCTGCATATCGCCCTGAATGAGTGAGAGAGCGGAGTCCTCTACACACGGCAGCCGCTGATGTGGGGCTGGTATCGTGTGAATAAGAGAGCAGTGTCTTCCAAACATGGCAGTCGCTGATGAGGGGCTGGTATCGTGTGAATAAGAGAGCAGTGTTTTCCAAACACGGTAGCCGCTGATGAGGGGCTGGTATCATGTGAACGAGTGAGGAGCCAGTGATTGTGCTTTGCACACGGCAGAATGCCGCTCTGAGGCGGGGAGATGCACACTTTTTAGACAGTGGGTCGTGTGGCATCTGTGGCGACATGAAAACCCTTAGCTCCAGTATCTGTACTCGGCACTCCGCTCCGCCATAGAAGGGGAACATGAGGAGAGGAATGCGGACATTTTGTCGGCATGAGCTCATCACCAGAGTCCTTAAGGTCCACCACTGATAGAGGGCAGACGGACTCATCTGACATCTGAAGAAAAATGTCATACTCACCTGAACGCTGCAGAGGAGCGGCAATCCAGGCACCGCCCTCTGATGAGCGAACCGTAACTGTGAGCTGTAATAGTTTATAAGCCATATTCTTAGGTTATTCAGCAAAGTGAAGGAGAAGATTCTGATGTAATTGTCGCGTGTATTGCATTTTATACTGCCTCTCAAGTGCATCAGTATTTGCATGCGATTTGCATACTTCTCGACAATTGGCCAGTCATTTGGACTGGCGTGAGCCAATAGGACTTCAGGAAAGGTTGGAAGGGAAGGAGATCCCATAACGGAGAAATGTCTCGTGAAAGCTCGAGAGGGAACTCCGGGGTTGCGTTTCAGTGTAAACGGAGACTTTTGAAAACAATGGCGTGGCTGCCCTCATTCGCGCTTATCCTGTAAACAATAACATCATGCTCATTGTTGTACCCATAGATGTGTATAGGTAGATTCCCCATTTAACTGCTCCAAGCACGTAGACGCATCCGCCATCTAAATAATAGGGATCCACTTATACATATCTATGGTTGTAGCTGCATGAATGGTCACGTGACATGTGTTTTCAGTTGTGTAGTGTAGACAGAGATCGTTTCGAAACGCCAGTGTAGACGAGGATCATTTTCAACACCGTTTTAAAACGAAAAAGCACTAATGAAAACGGGACCTAAATGACCAGTCCAAAAATGAGAATGATTCTGATTTACCCTAATATATATGCAATGGCAAGTTAATCAGTTAATTCCGTGTAAAAGAGCCTTACAGCCAGGCTTAACTGGAATAAAACAAAACAAAACAAAAACATTTGTTTACTGGGTTAGGGTTACAGTTGAATTAAAATAAATTTGAATAAACTTTAACTGAAATAATAAATAAAAAGGGACTGACATCAACATATTTTCCTTTAGGTAATGGACAACACAGACATCCACTGTGTGCCCAATACCTTGATTATTGTGGGTCTTGCTTCGATGGGCATTAATTACTTTGCCAGTCGAATCTGCCAGGATGCCCTAGATCCTGGGCGTTTTCAACAATGGAAGACCTTCCTGAAGCCCTATTTTGGATGCTCAATATTCTTCACCACCCTCATGCTGATTTCAGTCATCTTGAGTTACGTCATGAAGGGCAGCCTGGAGACCTCCCTGAAAATCGGCTTGAAGAACGGTATCCGCTTCTACAAGGACACCGACACTCCAGGCCGCTGCTTCCAGAAGCAGACCATTGATCGCCTTCAGATGGAGTTCCAGTGCTGTGGTAATAACGACTACAAGGATTGGTTTGAGGTGCAGTGGATCAGCAACCGTTACCTGGATTTCAGCTCTAAGGAAGTTAAGGAGTGAGTCAATGGGAATGTCAATTCAAAGTATTAAAAGGATACAGTAGTTCATCCAAATATGAAAATAGTGTCATCATTTACATACCTTCATGCCGTTCCAAATGTGTGACTTTCTTCTGCAGAGCACAAAAGAACATATTCTGAAGAATGTTTCTTCTTTTATTTTCCACAGAATAAAGGGTCACACTTTAGTTTGAGTACCAATTCTCACTGTTAACTATTAACTACGACTTTTGCTTCAATAAACTCATAATTTGTTTAAGGGGTAAGATTGAGGGATCTAAAATATGGTCATGCAGAATAAAACATTAATATGTGCTTTATAAGTACTAATAAATAGCAAATATGCTAGAAATATGCTTGCTACAGTAATAATCAACTAGTTAATAGTGAGAATTGGTCTCTAAACTAAAGTGTTACCAAGTAAAGAAATGTATACAGATTTAGAACAACATGAAGGTGAGTAAATGAGAGAATTTTCATTTTTGGGTTGACTATACCTTTACCATCTCTATTTGCTCTATTTAAGACACCTAAGGACACTTGAGGAGAACTTAATACTTCATGCATCCATTATAAATCACTTTCAGACGAATATGGCTCAGTTAGTTCTGGGAAAAGCTCTAACATCATTTATTTTATATTCTAACGCAGTGTCATTCATGATTGTTAAGAGTGTCTTAAGTGTCCAAAACCGTTCATATATTCAGTATAGTCACAAAATCTGAGACCATCCACAAAAAAGGACCACAAGTGTTTACAAAAATGCATTTAAGAGTCATGTTAATATCTGGTGTGAAAAGTGTCTTGGCTGATGACTTGTTATCAGGGCCCGTATTCACAAAACATTTTATCTTACCACTAAGAGTTCTCCTAAATAGAGGTAAAAGATTTTAGCTAAGAGTTTTCTCTTAAAACCTATTCACAAAGCTGCTGAGACAAACTTTTACTAAGGAATAGAGAGAAGTCTTATGATAAGAGTAAGGGCGGGGTTGACCTCATTGCTATGGATGACGTTAGCATGCTTACTAACTATGCACACAGTGATTGGCTGAGGGGAGGGGTCTCTGTCAGAGATTTATTCATAGAATTGTAGAGTATTGTAGAGCCATATTCAGATAAAAGTTTAAAAATGAAAAAATATGCACATTCAAATAAAGATTTTAAAAAGCAGGCTAAGTGTCACTAATTGTGCTGTGTGTACATTAATGAGGAAAAAAAATAACTTAAATGATTTTAGCAAATGGCTGCAATATAACAAAGAGTGAAAAATTTAAGGGGGTCTGAATACTTTCCGTACCCACTGTATGTTCAGTTAATTGTCAGCCTCTTACATGTGTGCTCCTCGTAAACACTTAGCAGATATGCATATAAACAACCTTTTAATTAACAGAGTAGAATAATCATGGCTAGTGAGGCATGTAAATGTAAAAGAAAACCAAACTGGATGCAAGAACAGCTGTTAGTTCTTGCCCAACTTGTTAATGAAAACAACAGTCATAATATCCTCACGATTAAGGCGACACATTTTTAAAAGCTCATTATTGTCAAACGTTTCTAAAATGTTTCTGTTCTGAGGCAGACTGCCAGCAACAGCCATTTTAGGATAGTTTGTGACTTGGTCTTAGTGACTTAGGAGTTCTCTTCACTACTCCTAACGTTTCACACCGATGGAGTTTTGGTTCCTTGCCGCTGTCGCCTCTGGCTTGCTTAGTTGGGGACACTTCATTTCCAGCGTTATCGTTGACATAATTGCAAAGATATTATTTAAACTGAGCTGGATGTTGACATCACTGAATTCAATGATGAACTGTCTTTAACTGAAAAATGAGTGTTTACTATTGTCATTTTGCATTATTGACACTATTTTCCTAATTAATGCTGTTCAGTTGCTTTGTCACAATCTGTATTGTTAAAAGCGCTATATAAATAAAGGTGACTTGACTTGACTTGACAGATTTAGGAGCTAGTTTTAGCACTAAAAAGCTTTGTGATATACTCTTAGAGCAAAAATGTAGGAGTCCTAAATTTAGGACTGACACGCCCATTATTTTTAAGGTTTTCTCCTAAATCGGCGAGTTATGAGTTACTTTTAGACTTAAGATGTTTTGTGAATATGGGCCCTGGGCCCGTATGTATAAAACTTCTCAGAAATGCTCTTAAAAATAGTCTTAAGCTTTGACTTAAGTGTCAAAAAATTCTTAGTAAAAAGTAGGACTTTTCTAAGAGTAGGAAACTTTTATAAAGACGCTAAAAGCAACTTTCAGTAACGTCTAAGACTGATTCTGACACTTAAGTGTTGTGAACTAAGGACTACAATGATGTCAACACCAAATGGCCGACCTCGACCTCTGAATCAGCCAATAGTGAGCCTGCTCATGTAAAGTCACAGCAGCACAGCACGAATCATTTAAAGTGACTACAATAAAATCATTTAATTAAGACTGAAATATTTTAATTTAAATGTATTTTTAAATGCTTTGCATTGTGCAAAATTATCACAAATTATTAATAATGCTTTGTTTAATGGTATGTCTCCTCATTTACAGTTAGAGCCATGATGTGAACATGAGTTCCATCAACGGCTCCAGTAACTCCAGGAAAGCCCACAATCCTCACAAAAGTTGATTTTGCATTATGGTTTGGCGGTCAGTTGAAAATTTAATAAACTGCCATATAGTAGTGGCCAAAAGTGATGTCCGGCCTAGGAAATTTGACATATTTTCATTCTTAATTTTTTAAAAAAATGTGCAAGATTTTGTAAAAATATTGCATAGTTGCTTAGTCAGTTGTTTTACTTGTGATAATAATGCAATGAAACAGGCCAAATTTTGCGGTCATAATTTTTGGCCATGCTATCATACAAAGACATTATGAACAAATGTAAAAACAAGAGGACCAATGAAATGTAAATAACGTATGTTGTAGTCAATGTGCCAATGTCGCCAATTTAGTGATTTTGTCACGAGATTTAGTGACTTCCGCATCCCTTTAGAGACTTTTTTCAAAAACCTAGCAACAAAATCAATTTCTTGGACAAACATTATCTACATTCCGAAACTCTCCCATGATGTCATAAAGGCGAGTTCACTGATCTATATAAATATAAATATAGATCAGTGAACTCACCTTTATGAGGTCATCTAGCAACATTAAGTGACCAGTTTTAGCTACTTTCAATTGAAAGCAGTTGGCAACACTGGTCAGTGTTTTTTTTTGTCCTTTGTATTTTGACGGTTTAAGTGAAATGTTGGGTCATAAAAAAAACAATCAAAACATCACGTTTGGCCACTGTTGTGTTTGGTGGGGTTAGTGCCACAATATGTAAGAACCTGCTTACTGTGTCATCACCGGTGCATTGCTGCATTCTTCCAATTTTCCAGCCAAAAAAAATGTATTACTACTTTCATGTCTGCCGTTAGAGCATTGACTTGTTGAGTGGAAGAGGTTATTAAATTTTTCACTTTATCAGTTAAAGTTTTTATCGAAAAAGACTTTTTGATCTTTACAATTACGTTTGTATCGTTTTATCAACTCCATATTATCATATAAGTCCAATATATTTTCGCTGGAAAGTGTTTGTCGTCCCTTCTTTTCGGCCATCTTATTACTCCTAACTAAGTTTAGGAGACCTCTCCAGCTCTCTTAAATAATTTAGGAGCTGAGACCTCTTTTAACACTTAGGAACCTTTATGAATCACTCTTATTCTTAAGTCTAGGAATTCTTAGAATTTTGACACACTTAAGACTAAACTTTTACTTTGAGCGGCTTTATACATACGGCCCCTGATCACAAAAGAAAAATTCTAATACCAAGTTGAAATATGGACTTGGAGTACATATTGAGTACAATGAAATTAAAACCATGAAGTAAGAAAGTTTTAAGTGAACTATTGGTAACTTTATGAGCAGCAATTTCATAACAGTTTGCAATGATGATTCAAGGTTCTTTTCTTCCAATTTCTTCTCAATCTTCCAGCCGCATTAAGAGCAATGTGGATGGCCGTTACTTGGTTGACGGTGTGCCCTTCAGTTGCTGTAACCCTAGTTCTCCCAGACCCTGTATCCAGTACAAAATCACCAACAACACTGCCCACTACAACTACGACCACCAGACCGAAGAACTCAACATCTTCATTCGTGGTTGCAGAGAAGCCCTGGTCAACTATTACATGGGGCTGATGAACACTATTGGAGCTGTAGTTCTGTCTATCTTCCTGCTTCAGGTACACTGTTAAAGGTTTGCGTGTAGACAATGGACCTTGGACCATCAGGGTATAATCTATATTTATTTTGGCATAAATGAAAATGAGACTCCAAGGGATAGACATACATTTCTTCAATCCCCTTTCAAGACAGTATAACCCATTGAGGAGACATTGAACAGACCACCAGTTTGTTTTCATTCACATCACATATACTACCCCGACTAAGATCAGTTAGTTTGTTGACAATTTAATCTGCCAGTTTAGTTCCCTTGAATTCCTTGTACCATGTATCATATGCTACAAAAGCTAAATTTGGGAATACTTTACAATAAGGTTCAATTTGTGAACATGAGTTAACTACGTTATTTAACATTAACTAACAATGAATAAAGTGTCACTTTATTTTAAGGTCCAATTCTCACTATTAACAAATCATTATCTACAACTTTTGCCTCGATAAACTCCTAATTCTCTGCTTATTAATAGTTAGTAAGGTAGTTGTTAAATTTATGTATTGGGTAGGATTAGGGATGTAGAATATGGTCATGCAGAATAAGTACTAATAAACAGCCAATATGTTAATAATAGGCATGCTAATAATCAACTAGTTAATAGTGAGAATTAGTCCCTATACTAAAATGTTACCAAATATTGTTCTAAGCATTTATTAATCTTAGTTTCTTAATTTCAACATTTACTAACACATTATTAAAATCAAAATTTGTAGCTGTTAATATTATTTAATGGATCTGATCTAACACGAACTAACAGAACAGTTGTATTTTTATTAACTAACATTAACATACTGTAACAAATGTATTGATAATTTTAATTAATGTTAGTTTTAAATTTTTTAGCAGCTTTACAGATTTAGCATAATGTATTGCATAGCATTAATTACAGTGACTGAAATGTATTTTTGCCAACCAGTTAGAACAAACAAACAAACAAACAAACACTAGTAAATTGCAATACAGCAAATTATATATTTTGTGTGGTAGGGTAGGTTACTACATAATATCAATTATAATTAATAAATTATAATTAAACCCGTAATATGGGAAATAACCCCCCAAAGTTCCAAAAGTTAATAGCTTAAATAGATTTCCACATGCATGTATATTTACTTGTATTTTGTTGTAGGCTTGCATATGTTACTTACGTTTACATTTGCGCATTTAGCGGACACTTTTATCCAAAGCGAACAACAAAAGCGATTCATCAAAGAGTGAACAACATTTAAAATATGCAATGACAGGTTTATTAGACCAGATTTTACTTCTACAAACTAGCTATTTTTACCCATTTTCTCATATTCCATGTCAATTGCATTTTTTCTACAGAGCTCAGTGTTGGCCAGTGTGCGCCTCCTGCAGACGTCTATGGAGGCTGTTGCTGGACAGGAGAATGTGGAGATTGAAACCGAGGGCTACTTGCTTGAGAAGGGAGTGAAGGAGACCTTCATGGAGTACGTGGATCCTGTGCTGAAGCTCCTGTTGCTGAACCAGGTAACACCTCCTGAAGCCAAACTGGAAGCAGGGGCCACTGGAACAACCACCAGCTAAAGAGTCAGATTTATCTGACCACTGAAATGTTTCCAGTTGGAGGCTGAGAGTACTGACAACTAATCAAATAATTTACGTTTTGGTATTTTTATATATCAGTCTTAATGACCTACATCTCAAATAATTTACGTTTTGGTATTTTTATATATCAGTCTTAATGACCTACATCTCAAAGAGTTGTATACTTCATTAATACACTAAAATGGTTGTTTCTAAAATAAATGAACATTGTAAAATTCTCAAATAAATTAATAAATTATTTATGGCAAACATATGATATTGTTAGTCTTGGGGTGAGTAAACGTCTGTTCATTCCTGTCAGGGGAACTTGGTGCAGCTATGTCTGGGAAATGACTAGCATTATGATAACATTTCCACCATGAATGGTTGAATATTTGAATGACTGAGCAGTTTCTTAACAGAAAGTTCTATTTTATTTCTTCCCATTTACAAAATCATGTCATACACCTAAAAGAGGCTGATTGTGTAATATAGCCTATGTTGTAATACTACTCTACCACATGGATGTATGTAAATGATTGGAATAACAGAAAGACGCAAATCAATGCCCTTGTGAAAAAGAAGTGCGCTAAACTGTAGTGAATGTGTACTTGTAGTGTACTTCAAGTCTTAAAAGTATATTTAAAAAAAAACTGTACTTGCAGGTAATATAACATTACTAAAATAAAAGGCCACTTAAGTGTACTTAGTCAACTTTCATAATGTTTCTTAAGTACACTTTTAAAAAGTGCACTTTGTTATAATGTCAGGTTAGGTTTTTTCATGCTTTACAGAGGTACACTTATTTTGATGCATTGACTAGCCTACTGAAGCATGTGTAAAGTATTTGATTTTAATTTTAATTGCAACTTCATCATTACAAGAGTGTAATTACACATACATTTAAATACATGACATATATGTTTCAAAAGAAATGACATTAAAGTATGTTTTAGTTTTCAGTATTTTTATTTATATTATTTATATTTTTATATTTGTCAGTACATTTAACACACTTTAACCATGGACAACTCTATGTAATTATGAAATTACATATAAAGATGTACTTAAGTGGGTCAAAAAAAGCATTCGTAAATTACTAATTGCAACATAAATTTAAACTATATTTTCATTTAATTGTAAATAACATGCAGTTAAGTACCCAAAAACTTTACATTCAATTTGCACTTAAGTAAATTCTTTTAAAGTATATTATTTCTGTAATAAGTACTCTTTTTAAAAGTATGCTGAAGTGAACTTCTTTTTCACAAGGGTAAGCCCCTTCTAATCATCTGAATCTTACATGTATACTACCCAGGCATGAGAAGATAAAACTTTCTCTTCCAAAACAAAGTTTTTGTTTTAACCAGCCACGACCTTCACAAATACTAGGACACACTTTTAATTGGTTTCTATGTCTTTAGCTTCACACTGGGTAGCCCCACCCATAAAGAAATCTCACTGGCCTAAAATCAACCTCCACATTGCTGTACTGTATATTAAGTATGTTCTAATAGGTTTTGAATCAACAGTATTTTCGCTTGCAGTGTGGACAAGCAAATTATTTGATGCTGGAAATTATTAATTAAAATATATATTATAAAATATATAATATAGCTGAAGAAACACGATTTCATATTTTCATATTCTCCATTATTATTTTCTCATCCAATGTTAATTGCATGTTAAACATAAATACTTCACTGTCATTAAGCCTTTTTTGTTTTGCATTCAGCATGGAATTAAATGCATTGTAAGTGTTAAAAGATGGTGTAGATGATGCTCAGTGCTCTGCTATGAAACACTGTACTGCACTCGCAGAACTGTCAGAAAACTTTCAGGTCTAATAAAATCTGACATTTTGAACCGTTTTGTCGTGTAGTAATATTTTGTGGAACTAGATGCAGACTGTATTCTGCCGCTTCTGTCTTTTTATTGATTCTTTCTTTCAAACTTCTACACATCTACACAATAGCATTCAGGTGCATTTATGCACATAATAAGCAAGCAGAAAGATCTGCAAAATCGCATGAGCCAGGTAGACATGCACAGACTTTCTTACAAACATAAATAGCTGGATATCAGATACAGATAATGAAGGATGATGATTGATGGCAGCATGCACAGTGAAAGCCCAGTGTGTCTGCGTCCTTTATCCTGTAACCTGTGCTAATCTCTTAATACGCAAACTGCTGCTCAAGCACTCAAACTCACTGCATCCGATTATATCTAACAAAGCACGTTAATACATGAGGGAAGATGCATATGCAGATATATGTATATATGTCAAGTGATCATCTATGATTTGTGAAATATAAAAAACACTTTTAACAGACCAATATTATATATTGATGTTGTCATTAACAATATAATATTGGAGACATGGGTTAGATGACTCATGGGGACGTTTTAACAAGGGCTGTATCTCAATAGCTAGAACATTTTGAGTCAAAAGTCCAGCTATACAAATGTGTGGTTTGTCTAGCAGTGGTTATCTTTGTTGGTTTTAAAGATGTCATTCAAAACTGTAAGACCAAAGAATAGATTCCTGTCGTCCAATATGAAAATTACATTATCACTATATACAGTACACTGATCGGCCACAATATTAAAACTACCTGCCTAATATTGTCTAGGTCCCCCTCGTGTTGCCAAAACAGCTCTGATGCATGAAGGCATGGACTCTACAGGACCTCTAAACATATGTGGTATCTGGCACAAAGATATTAGCAGCAGATCCTTTAAATCTTGCAAGCTACCAGGAGGAGCCTCCAAGGATCGGATTTGTTGGTCCAGCACATCAACAACAACAACAACTTATCTGATTCTGTTACATAGAAGTGAATAAAAATAATATATTGATATTTAATATTAAGGTACCACTTTTCGATAAAGTTCCATTAGTTAATGTTAGTTAATGTATTAACTATCATGAATGAACAATGAACAATACATTTATTACAGTATTTATTAATCTTTCTTAATGTTAGTTAATGAGAATACAGTTATTCACTGTTAGTTCATGTTAATTCAGAGTGTATTAACTGTTAACAAGCACAACTGTTGATTTGAATAATGCATTAGTAAATGCTGAAATTAACATGAACTAAGATTCGTAAATGATGAAGAACTATGGTTCATTCTTAGTTCATTAACTAAAGTAGTTAACTAATAAACCTTATTGTAAAGTGTTACCAATATTAATATAAATTCTGTCCAGTTTTATTGTGTTACTTTCAGTAAAAGTGTGGTTATTTTATTGGCTTGTGTTTTTTTTATTCAGTATCATTAAAACTGAGTTAAATTTAAAAAGTCTTACAAAATTACTTTATATTATTTAATAAAATAATAAACAATCATTACAAAGCATTTTTCGGTTTCAGTTTTCGGCCAAGTGCATCCAGAATTTTCGGTTACCGTTTCGGCCCAGAATTTTCATTTCGGTGCATCCCTAGATGTAAGACTACATGTTTTATTTAATTTAATTTAAATTGAACAGTAATTTAAAATGCCCCAATTGCTGAAGGGTCTGCACAACTTTTTAGTACAATTTCAAGTTGCATTGTTCAAAATACCTGTAGTAGCACAGCAGTGCATACCTGTTTACATTAAATTAAGGTGGACTAGATTAGACTGTAATACAAATAGTTGAGTTTGCCAGTTGCATACAACATTTATGGTTTTCATGAAAGTGTTGGTCAGTTTGTCTGCTTGACAATCCCATTTTGCACTGCAACAATAAAACTGAAGTGAGATAAACAAACTGAGAAATGTTTCTTTTTAGTTAAAACAGATGTTGTCAAAGTTTCCTTTGGGAACATAATTTGAAGCCGGAAAAGGGTAATAAATTACAATATATCGCAATATATTTAAAATCGCAACAATATCGTATCGTGACACAAGCATCGTGATAATATCGTATCGTGAGGCCTCTTGTGATTCCCACCCCTAAATATAACTGAAATCTTATTAGTAATTAGTTGCACAACTAGTTACTGCAAAAAGTAATATTATTACAGAATTTACAGTAACTAAGTTAGGCTACTAGCTACTGCCCAACACTGCACATGACATAGGAATTACGCAGATACGACTTGAGATCCAAAAAGGGTGTGCAAGACAAAAGCCTTGCTGTCGTTAGTGGGAGAGGCTGTCCTTTAGCACGGGAGTTGGCAAGTTGGATTGCACCAGTTTTTCTCTTTCGCCACCTACACGTCTGACGTGCTCTGAAACCGATTCCAATAGCGGCACTCCGGCTTACTATCGGAAAGTCAGAATCATTTGAGCGAATCGGTTCGTTCGAACTTTTCATTCTAATGAACCAATTCATAATACGAATCATCAATTCGTTCACGGCATAACTTCATAAGGATGTTTACATCATGTTTTATCACGAAGTATACATATCAATATACAGCCGATCGATATTTATGTTTCCAACCTCACCTCACACATTTTTAAACAAAATGAACACATCCAAGTCCACAATTCGAGTGCTTTAAAAAGCGAATCGATTATCTCAAATCAACCGAAAGAACCAGTTCAAAACAACGATTGGTTCGCGATTCGAACAGCACTACTTCGGCTTCCGTAGCTGAAATGATCCTTACTACACTTTCTTCCAGGCATTTATCGTTCAATTCATTTCCTTTCCAAAACAAACGCATATTTTAACGCTAGTCAGGCACAACTACACCCGGAAGGAAGGAGCAAAGGACTAAAATACGCCCGTTCAGCTTTAGTGAATCCGCTGTTAGGGACATTTTAAACGTGATATGTCATGGTTGATAGTTAGCACGTACGCTATCAGGGTATAGCTCGTTAGCAGAGCTAATATCGTTTTATTTGAAGTGTGTTTTTTTGGCAATACAGCGGTAACGAGATCTGCTCAAATGTGAACAGTCGCACTTGATGGACTGCGATCTTCACTGCAGTTGCGGACGACCTCATGACAGTTGTGTCGAAGTTGGAAATACGGAAATAACAGCAATTTATGGCCCACATTATAATCAATTAGCTGTAGTTCAAGTGTTAAAATACCGAATATCGTCGTCTTGTTTCGAAAGGTATTGAAGTGTATGGCTGTGCGCGCGCCTATCAAAAATGGAGATTAATATCTAGGTCGTGCGCGAAGATTAGTGTTCACAGCAGGATGTCAAAGGGATTTTTGAGCTGAGATAATAACAAAAACAAAAACATGTCATAACGTGCAAAGTTTCGCTTTATAAAAGAAATCCGTGTGTCGACATTTGCCGTACATAATATAGATGTCTGTGCATTGGAAAAGCAGGCTGTCAAAATCACTTTACTGATCAAATACTCTAGAAATCAGACACATCATGTCAGGGGAAAGTAGTGGTAGTGGCGAGGACTCCGACCAAGAAACCCGCCGTAAAGTTTGCACTGTTAAACACGAGATCACTAATGGTAAGTTAGTTGACTGAAAGATTTCACCTGGTGTGTTTTGATTTCTTTACAAAAGTGGTTGTACTGTGTCTTGGTGATGCTCATGTAATTTGATGTGTATCATGGCATTTAATTATTAATTTATTTACATTATTTTTTATTAATGTATTACATTTAATCATATACCATGATATTTAAATGGAACTTAAAGTTACTTCAAAATTATTTTGTGCAACTTGTGAGCGTAATATTTCTCATATCTGGCTCTTTTTACTCTAAAGTACTGTGTGGATATTTAAAAAAGAATAGGTATGGCATCAAATATCTTCGTATGATATGATTATCATTTTCCTATTACTTGGTATTTCAAAGAATACCCATAAAAACATTGTAATAATGTGCTACGTTTTGTTAAATTTTCTGTCAGTGTTTTCTTTTGAGAATCTTTACAACTTTATCAGATTGCATAAAACAAAACTGGTGGTTTATTTATTTGCGAGTGGCATCATATTTGTTTCAACAAGTTGGCATATATGTTTTTAATTATCAGTATCAGTCAGATTATTTTTCCAGTGTAAACCATTTTCTTTTTGTGTTAGGTTTTAGAAGAAAAAAAATATTGCACCTTTTATTGTTTCTTTTCGGATATCTCTAATGTTAGATGGAACTGGAAAATATATATTTGGTGTGCAAATGTCTTGCATCTGCATGTGCTGTGTACTATATCAAATGTATTTGATGTAGTAGTGAACTAATATATATGTGTGTGTGTGTGTGTGTGTGGATTTAAATGGTTGAGAGTGCAATTTGTTGTGTACATTCACTGTTTGTCCCTTCTCAGCAAACCTCACAGGATACACTGAGAAAGTTGGCATGGAGAACTTTGAACTTCTCAAAGTGCTTGGCACTGGAGGTGAGAGCACTGCACTGAAGTACAAAAGTATTTCTGTTGCATACTACAGTTTGTCTTTACTTGTTTGTCCATCCATCCCGTAAAGGTCATTGGCAATGTATATACTTGCATGATTATGAAAGCAAGTAGTAGATCTAGCTAATTTTTCCGTAAACAAGTACACCTTTATGAGATTACAATCCACAAGTTCTCTGAAAATGGGCTGTATACCTCTTTTCAGTCTTTCAGGGTAATAATCAGCTAGACCACTAGAGATACCAGACCCGTAATCAGACCTAGTGTATGCCCAAACAGCTTGTGCATGTTTAATGTTGGCTTATTAACAACATTTGAATAGCAAGAATCATTTAAGTAATAATTGTATGCTTTTGTAATTCATAATACATTTTCTTTTCCAGTTTAATAAGCATATGCAACTGCAATTAAGATGTTCATATGCTGATTTGCATAATGTGTGGCTCTTTGGGGTGTTTAAAACATAGTTTAAGTGCTTTAAGCATAGAAATGACTCATACTCCGTGGTTGAGTTGTCTCTTTAAATAGCTACATCTCTGTTTTTCTCTCTCTTTATCAGCTTATGGGAAAGTGTTCCTGGTCAGAAAAATCAGCGGCCACGATAAAGGCAAACTCTATGCCATGAAGGTTTGCACCGTTTGTTATCACACTTTAATTTTTGCTTGTCCTTCAGTTAGTAAAAACAAAAATATGCACTTAAAGGTGTGTGCTTAATATGAAGAACTGAGGATTTTTTAAAACACATTTTTGCCGCTGTGCTCTGGTTCTTCTAATAGAAATCTACAATATCTACAATTGGGCTGATAAAATCAAAACAAAGGGACAAGTACAGTTTTATTCAATTTTGTTTCTTTGCCATTTCTCAAAATATAATCTTATGAAATCATTTTATGATCTCTTTCCCTGTAGGTTCTGAAGAAAGCAGCCATTGTTCAGAAGGCAAAGACTGCTGAGCACACTAGAACAGAGCGGCAGGTACTGGAACACATCCGCCAGTCACCCTTTCTGGTCACCCTCCATTACGCCTTTCAGACGCAAACCAAACTGCATCTCATACTAGGTAAGCACAGGATACAGACTTCATCCTGATTCACTTGTGCGTGCTGTTTTATGGATGGCATCTGTAGCATAGTTGTGTTTCAAGTAGGGCTGGCATGTGTCATCCAGCAGCAGTGTTAATTTTGGCAGCACATTTTTATTTAGTTTTAGTCATAGTCTTTGGACTAAAATGCTATTTAATTCTATCCATATTTTAGTCATCTGAATTGTTTTAGTCTTAGTCTAGTTTTAGTCAACTAAATATCATAAGACTTTAGTCGACTAAATCTACAGTAGATTTAGTTGACTAAAATCTAATGGGTTTAGTTACAGCATAATGCATTTATTAAGCATTTCTCTAAAATTTCCAAACTCATATGTTCTCTGAGAAAACATCTATTAACCTGGCAATATGAATGATATTAAGGTTTGAATATGCAATATAGACACATATTTAACTCCTGTGACACATAACATGTCTTTATCTCAAAATTAAATAATTCCACTTCTCATAAAGAAACAAGAATATGGTCCTCTTTTCAATGAAATACAAATGGTTATATATATTATATGCATTTTTTATAACAACTTGTATACAACATCCTTCATTCTTTCAAGCAGATATATTTATTTATATACATTAAAGGGTTAGTTCACCCAAAAATTAAAATTAGCCCATGATTTACTCACCCTCAAGTAGGGCTGTGCGATTAATCAAAATCAAATCAAAATCGCGATTTGAGACGTTGCGATTTCCTAATCAAAAAGCCTGCGATGTGGACGCGATATTACTCTGTTCCAGAGCATTTGCATGACTGCCAGCCTTGAGTTGCAGTCTTACTTGCCCTGGGCAAGAGTGAGTGCACCTCTGTTCTCCCCAATCAGCACTGCTCTAGCCAACTGCGTAAACACCCACCATTAATAATAATAATAAAAGAAAAGGAAAATGGGACGGGAGAGAGACAGAGTGGGATTATGGCGTCTACTGGGTCAGATCGATAGTTAGGCAAAATTAAAACTAAAGAAAACCGTATGCAATTTAAGCTTCGAAATGACAGAAAAAGGAACAAAAAATTTAATTAGCAAGAACTGCGTCACAGCGCATATCAAAGCTCCCTTATCAGTTCTGTTTTCAGTACTGGAGAATAAAAGATACATTCTTAGATGTTTTTGTTAGTACGTGAACGTTATCTTACACATTTGATCTCCCCAACAGATTAATTTGAAATAAGTTTATAATGCATGTTGGCTATTCTCAATTCAGAAGAGCGTGCGCACACAGCCTAACTGTGCGTTCACACCGCCGGCGGCGAGAGCGTCAAAGTGACCGGAAGACATTCATTTTCAATGTGAGCGGGCGGCGAAAAGCGGCGAGGAGCGGCGCGGCGCGTCTTGGCCGGCGAGGGCGTCAAGGAGAGTTGAAATCAGTTTAACTTTATGGTAATGAACTATGACACTGTTGGGCGGCAACCAATCGGAATGTAGAATTCCTCCGCTTGAGAGGGTCCCAGAGAACGCAGTCCTGTAAACTTTGGTTCCGACCACACATTAGTTCCTAATCAAAATGGAAGAGAGATTAATTATTGCTGTGGCGGGTTTCCCAGTCATTTATGTCTTAAGACTGGTTTTGTGGGCCAAGGTCACATATGGATATTTTTCTTACATAAATGCATAGATTTTGCCACAGGTTTCAGGTACAGATTCACCCCTTGGAGCCGTGTGAGGCATGTTTTATTATGGATGAATGCGCTTTATTGCACTTCTTTTGGACTGTTGAACAGAAATACCCGCCCATGCCATTATAAAGCTTGGAAGAGCAAGGACCATTTTTAATATAATTTGTAATATATTTTTATTTTTATAATTTTTATATATTTGGATTTGTCTGAAAGAAGAAGGTCATATACACCTAGGATGCCTTGGGCGAGTAAAGCATGGGCGTGGTTAGTTTTGGGTGAACTAACCCTTTAAAATTAGTTGAATCCTTATTAGGGACTAAAGTGATTCAGTCAAAAGCAGTGAATGATTTTCTCTCTTTTGTTGATTCATTAATGGTAAGAACACAGGCAACAATTAGGCTGCTGCCCCTTTAAAACTGACTGCACGCGTTCAATATACTGGCGATTAATTTAAAGACATAACCGGGTGTGTTTACGTGAATACTCGCCAAAACCGACAACTTGACATCATTTTGTGAACTGCACTCACAGGTGTTTATTGACTATTATTGACCAGGGATAATGAACTAAAACTAAAAATATTAAAAACATTTTTGTTAATTGAAAGTAAGCTAAGCTAAAATTAATTTAGGAATTAAAATAAATTTAGAAAATTGGGAATGTTTCCTTGGTAAATAAATGAAATAAGTTTAAGTTGAAACAAAACAAACTAGAACTAAAATAAAAATAAAAATAAAACTGAAACAAATTAAACTTAAATAGTAATATAAAAAAAGAACTAATAAACAAAACAAAATAAAAACGAACAAAATAAAAATAAAAAATAAAAAACAACTAATAAAAATTCCAAAATCACACATTTACAAAAAAATCTAAAATTAAAATGGAAACTGAAATATAAAAAAATAAGCTTGAATATTCAAATATTCTAAATATTAATAAACATAATAGTATATAAATGATTCTAAAATAACAAGCTGCAAGACTTATTTATTTGTCGTGAATCATATTAATATCTGTTCCAAATAAAAATGTTTTTATTTCAAATGCCAGTTATTGCTGGTTATGCCTATGACATTACTATATAATTGGGTCAAATATATGGTTTTTGAGTTCAGCAAAATTAACTATGTTGTGCTATTTACCATTACTGTGATGTAAACTGACTTATACACCATGATGTAAGACACTGGTCATGCCACCCACCCATAGTTATTTAGCTCTAGCTATTTGTCTTTTAGAAAATTTGTGTTTTTGGAAAATGTTGTGAGTGTGTGTTTGTTTCGGAAGACTATGTGAGTGGAGGAGAGATGTTTACTCACTTGTATCAGAGAGATCATTTCTCAGAGGATGAGGTGAGGATCTACGTGGGAGAAATCATCCTAGCCCTGGAGCATCTGCACAAGGTACTAACATCTACTGGAGTATCTGCTGCCCACACTTTCATTGATAAGCACTTACACGCTTATGCATATGTAAGTTAGTGGAGTTAAATTCACTTATACAATTAATTAAATATGCTGAAAAACCATACACTTTACCATACAATTATTTAGTTTAACATTTTTATGCCTTAATTATTTGTAAATAAAATGCAGGCAGGAAAAGAAGTCATTTATAATTACTGTTTGGGAGAAATTTAATTATTTAGAATTATCAATAATATTTTATTATCCAACCTGTTTAGTCATTTTTTACTAAACTGAGTTTAACGGTTAAGTTCAAACTTCTAAATCTATAAAAAGAGATTATGATGAGATTTATGGTTTAAATTAAGATATAAATATTATCAGTTTTGCTGTACTTTATTTGATCTTGTGTTTTCAGCTTGGCATTGTGTACCGGGACATTAAGCTGGAGAACATCTTATTAGACAGTGATGGTCATCTGGTTCTGACAGACTTTGGGCTGAGTAAGGAGTTTCTAGAAGAGGAGGTGAGAAAATAAAAGCTAACAAATAATAACTGTAGTTTGTATTTATATATATTTTTTCAATTGCATCCATGTTGTAATCCAGTGTGCAGTTCTCATGCTGCTATGTTTTGTTCACGCGTAGAAAGAGAGGACTTACTCATTCTGTGGCACTATAGAGTACATGGCACCAGAAATCATCAGAGGAAAAGCTGGCCATGGCAAGGTGAGAGGAGAGAAAATTAGTTGACAAATCTCACAAAATTATTTTGTCATATTAAAACATTTAATTTCAGATAATGAAAAGAAAATAGAGAATCAAAAATTTGGATTTTTTTGCATTGTGAAATTCATTTTCTTGATAATTAAGCACTTTACCAAATAAAATATAATATAATGTATTCATCTTTTTTTAGTTTGTATTTATCATTATTTACAAACATGATTCTCATTATTGCAATCACCTACAAATGTCTTAAGCATATTTTACTTTCATGCATGTTAAGCTGTGATAGTTTGCATCTTTTTTTTCACAGTAATGAGATTTAAAAAAAAATTTTTTTTACATTAGATTGATGACTTTTTAGTAATGAGAATTTTCTGTCAAATTTGCATTTTTAAAAATATATATATTTTGCAAAATATACATTTGATTTTCATCAAAAATATGACTCGGACATGTTTTTGACCCTATTTGGATGGTAATCGTTTCTCATGAGGGCATCTGTAGAAATACATTTGCATGTCACCTGTAACCTTTAATCAATAAATGTTATGCCGTGACACACCTCAGTGATAAAACATTCAGATGGCATGTTATTCATGTTGGAGGAGCACATTTATTTAAGTTTATAATAGAAAATAATATCCTGTTTATGATTTGGTTATTTAAATATCCTTTTAAAAATAGGAAAATTAGCAGTATAGGTTAAATCGTTTTGTGTCTTGCATTTTCTTTTCAAAATGATAGTTGTCATTTTAAAAAAGTGGAAATGACCAGAAACAAGTTAATTCAAACTCTTATAAGGTACACGCTAGACATGGCTATTTGTTTGACTAGTAAAATGATTAGTTGTCTAAGCCCTACATTATATAAATGTATATAATGAATATTTAAAAAATATAATGCACACTATAATGATGGCCCATTTCAAAAGTTTGTTCTCTTTTTTTCATTTTATTTTTAACAGTTCCCACTCACTGTATTGAAGCAGTGATGTAATATTATTCTCATTAAGTTTTCAGCATTTCTGTAATAAAATTATCTGTATTTAAAACCCATGCATATTATCACAAAGCACATTAGTTACCATACGGGTCTTGGTAGTGGCAAAAAGGATTTATAAAACAGATTTTGGACAGTCAAAAGCAGCAGGTAATTTGGCTGGGAATTTTTATGCTGGCAGTGGAAGACAAACACCAACATTTTGGATTCGAATGGCAATAAAAACACCGTCTGGCCCGTGTAAATGTTGAAATTACCATACGGCCCCATGAGAAACAATTACTGTCTGAATAGGTCTGTTGACAGGATTTTGTGAGATTCACCAAATTCTGATTAATGAGTGATAAAGCATGACGTGTATGTCTTCCTGTCTGTAGGCAGTGGACTGGTGGAGTTTGGGGATTCTTATGTTTGAGCTGTTGACGGGAGCGTCTCCGTTCACTCTGGAGGGAGAGAGAAATTCCCAGAGTGAGGTGTCCAAGTGAGTCTCGCTCGCACATGGGCAAACCTCCATGACTCTAATGATTTTATCCAAACGTCCAGATACACATTGAACTGCCACAGTGTTTAAACTCCCAGTGATAACAACTGTTGTTACGGCTGCATCAGATAAGTTATTTCACAGAATTAAATGAACATTCTGTCTCTGACAGGCGCATCCTGCGCTGTGAGCCTCCATTCCCCTCGATCATTGGCCCCTTGGCGCAGGATCTACTGCGAAAGTTACTGGTGAAGGACCCTCATAAAAGACTGGGCTCTGGTCCCAGAGGAGCCGAGGAGATTAAGTCTCATCCTTTCTTTAAGGTTCTCTCTTCATTCCATCTGCTTTCTTTTTGCTTTTCAGCTGTTTTTATTCCTCACACCTTAACTCTGTGTTTAATGTTGTTGTAATCATTGTAGTGATGTAGAAAGTTTGATGATCGAAAATAGATTTTTAGTTTAGATCAAAACAGTTTTGTAAGGGCACAAATCATTGATCAAAATGGTGACATTTAATTAGCGCTTCTCCAGTGGCTCAGTTTGACAATGTATCTCTTTCGTGCACACAACGTGGATATGCTATAACAGGTTGTAAAATTGTATAGATCGTATTTACCTCAGGAAAGCCATTCTACGGTGACCGGGAGGGGACATGTTCGGTTCATTTAGTTTTGTCGTAGCCACGGCATATTAACTCATGGGAATGTGCTGTGTCGTGGGTGCGAGATAATTTTTTTGTAACAAAATCCTGTTGTAGCCACGCAATGTGAAGTCGTGGCCTCAAGATCCAATGTTGAGGGAACGAGTCAATATCCATTTTTCATGGCCACAACTTCTTAACTGTAATATAATTATATTATAATATTCTTAGAATTCTTATAATAATAATATTAACTGGTTAGGGCTATATTTTTATATTTATTGTTATATATGCTTATTTTTTCGGGCTGCCCCCAATGCTCGCCTATCATTCATCAATCTCAAATATGGCTTATCATCTGAAATATGTTAGTAGCAGCAACTTTACATGGCCACCTAACCCAGAAAAATATGCGCTATTGAAGTGTCTGCGGAGTGTGGAAGCTGAATTAGTGCGCTCTCACTGCATGACCAGTGGAGGCGCCAGTGCGCTCACTTGCTCTTAAAATACTCCCTCATTTTTGCTCATACAGATAAGAATATCGTAATACATCTTTCAAATCTGTAAAGACACTGTTTTTTTTGTGTGCGCTCACAATAACAACAAAAGATTGCATTTTTGTAAAATAATGAAAGCAAACAGGATGCGCTTTCTGCCATCTCGGTCTCTCTGAACTTGCACGAAACTCCATATATACTTGCCTTACAGACAAGAAAAATGTATCTATAGAGAGTGAAATGTCTACTTTCAAATGAACTAATTCAAATGGAAAACAAATATTCTCAGATTATGTAACCCGTATTAAATCTGCATACAGGCGCATCACTACTGCGGAGATGATGAGTCAGTGTCGCCGACTTCATCTCTTAAACCTGAAAACACAGAAAGCACTAGTTTCTCAATAAATTATTAAAATGTTAATGCAGCCTCCTTAATGTTTCCAGGGACAAATGACACATTCATAGAGCTGGGTTTCGAGAGTACCAAATTTCGATACCTAAGGGGTTAGTCTCGATCAGATCGATCAGTGTTTGACAACCGCGAGAGCGATGCGAAAACGTACGGAGCAGTCTGCTTGTGGTATCTTACTATAGCCTAATACACGATAGGTCTGCACAGTCGGTCCGCGACTGTGACACTCAGAGATGTGGCTCACACGTGAGGATTTAGTGTGAATGCGTCCCAGCCCCCGTAGCTGTAAGGCTACATTTACACTGGTGCGCTTTTGTTTTAAAATGAAAACGATCCTCGTCATACTGAGGTTTCCACTGCGTTTCAAGCCGGCTTTCCACTATCTCCGACAAACAACAGACCAAAAGTCATTCATTTCCAATGGAGAGTAGCGCGGGAGGTGTGTAGAGTTTCAATCATATGAAGATGTCCGTTCATACTACAAGACCCAAAGCGTGTGTTATGTGACCATTCATGCACACTGTAGCATCATGCTACAGAAGACCAGGGTTTAAATTGGGCCGGGGCCGTCTGGGGCTGAGCCCCGACACATATACTCCAGGGCTTGACATTAACTCTTCATTAACGCCAGACAAGTAACATGATTAAAACATCAGAAACCAAAAATAACTATGTAAACACCAAAACGCAATATTATTAACCTCTGAGTCAGAGCAGCGATCTTGGAAGAGAGAGCACAGGCAGACAGCGCTAGAAACTGCTAATGCTTATCAGTAAATCAGTAGAAAATGAATAGAAATTACGATTCTGTCTGAGCTAGGTGATTCTGTCACACGCACTAGTGTAAATGTAGCTAACAGATGTGTAAACTGAAGACCATTTATTAAAACTATTTGCACTGATTTTTTGTTTGTTACATTTTGTTCCTTTGTGCAGTGGCTTTGAGTCTGTATAAACATCAACAAGCTGAAAAATAAAACCAAAGTTTTTTTTTTTAGATAATGTAATCTTGTTAAAATAGATTTCATAAAATTGGTATCGAAAAAAGTATCATTCAGGAACCGGTATTGAAGTCAAGGTATCGGTATCGATATTGAAAATTTTTGAACGATACCCAGCCCTGCACATTCATAATCATAACGTCTGCCGGTGCGCTGTTGCCAGCTCTTGCCAGCTTTATGTGTGCACTTGAGCACTTATTAGGCTATGTAGGCAATTAAAGGCTCATTATAATTATTTAAATGAGTTTAGTAATAAACGTGCGATTAGATGACTAATGCTTAAAATTGAATGACTGCTAGTCAACCAGAAAAATCTTTTAGTTGAGGGCAGCCCTACTCATTTCCTCTTTTAGGCCTAATTTGTGTAGTGCTTTACCTAATTAACCTTCTGTATAATTATGCTAGTATTAATAATATGCTACCATATATTTTGCAAATACTGTAAACACCTGACAATTATGCTAATATAGTTTTGATTTTATGATTGTATTTACTCTCGTATGTGACGATAAATGAGCATTTACAAATTAAACTGCACAAATGATTAATTCCTCAACGAAACACTATAGTATTTATAATTATAATCTATTACTTAGCCAAAATAAAATAAAACGTATGTTAATTTCAACCTTTAAACCTTTTGCACTTCCAGTAAAAAAAAAGTCAAATAGTATAATCAAAGATTTATTGGTGTGTCGGGCATTTACAGTAGGCTATTATTTACAAAACTATTCAGAGAGGAAAGAGATCTTAATGAAAGGAAAATAAATCAAATGCATAACGAATATAAAAATATAACTAATAATAATAATAAGCGAATATTACGGAAAAAATATGATTTTATAATCATAAAAATCATTTTTGTAGGCCTATTTTATTTTATATACTTTGTAACATTTATTCATGATAAACTTCATTCAAATGCGGTCTACATCGTGTGCAATACAGTCCGGAAGCCTAGGCCTATGGTTAATATAATAATTTAATAATGCAAGGTAAAATAATTTCTATAATCATTAATTCAAGTAGATGCAATTAGGAATCATTGGTTAAGATTTATTTACAACAGAACAGCACAACCCAGATGTTCGAATTTGTGCAACGCATTTTATGGACGACAGTTTTTTGAACCTAGAAGAGTACAAGGCTGGCTGTGCACAAAGGCTATTTAAAAAGAAAGAAAAAAAAAAAAAAGGGTAAATTCCGACTTTGCTATGACAATTTGGCGCTTCTGAATCAGCGACTGTAAGTAGGCCTTTGTTTTGTTATTAGTTTAAGTATTTGCTATTGACTGTTCAAATGCGGAGTTTTGCGCAGCGCAGAGTAATGCGTCGTGTGTGTGTATGTGTTAGGGGAACAGGGTCACATCACAGGAGAGTGAACTGCCTGTCAGAAATAATAGCACGTCAGCTGTCTTAACCGCGGCTTGTGTACTGCATCATCACTGTGTCTGTCACGCGACTCTGTTGCCCTTTCGGGCTTGAACTGATGGTAAAACTAGCTACATTATTAACTGTCTTGATATTTACTTTGAAAGCTGAAGCTCACAATTATGGTAAGGGGCGTTACATTTCCGAACGCATGCTTGTGGTGTTCGGCCATTAACTATGCACTGGGTCAGCTGGCCAATCAGAGCAGACTGCGCTTGTCAAAGGAGGGGGCTTTGTTGAAAACTATGCGTTTGAGAGAGGCGGGGCATAGAGGACCTACAATAATGTACAGTATTTGAAAAATAATGCGTTTTTTGAACATTACACCAAATACACCAAATAATTATCTTTAAAATAGCATCATATGACCCTTTTAAGTCCCGTCCATTTTTTCTCATTCAGTAAGCTGTTTCTCTTGGAAATGTGTCACAGTACGTTAGTAAAGTAGGTCGCATCACCCACTTCTTAAAGACTGAAGGAACCTAGACCTTGGTTAAGGCTGTATGTGTTAATTAATGAAAAGAAAATCACAGATCTTCATAACAATTTTTGAAACGTAGCTTCAGTAAATGCTTTTCCTTCCAAAACTGAGAAAGTTAGAGTGTGTTTTCAATGTACATCAAACTCTTTTATTTTCAGGTGTAGTAAAATGTTAGTTTCTCTTATATGAGAAATTTAAGACCAAAGTGATTTTTGGTTTCACAAACAAAAGTGTCTGAATATTAAGTATTCATTCTGAACTGCATATCTATTGATTCATCATTTAAAATCACAACAATTTTCTTCATATAAAATGTTTGATCTGAAAAATGTAGAATGTTTAAAACAAACAAATCAAATCAAATGACACTTGATACTTGATCTGATACAATGATAAGTGTTTTAAGTGTCCACATACTTTTTGAGGTTGTCACGCATCTCATTTGATTGATCTCTTCAGGGTTTAAACTGGTCCGACTTGGCTGAGAAAAAGGTTCAGAGTCCATTCCGACCAGAACTGCGTAATGAGTTGGATGTGGGTAACTTTGCAGAGGAGTTTACAGGAATGGAGCCGGTCTATTCTCCTGCCAGCACACCACCTAGTACAGACCGTCTGTTTCAGGTACTCGCACATACAAACACACCTGTCCCTGTGCCCCTTTCATGGAGACAAACACATGCATACAGTAGATTACATCCCATTTCCTGCCACAGCCCTCCATTATTAATATCAACAGATAGTGTCACTTCACACATACACACACAGATGCAGTACAGCTTTGTAACTTAATAGCCAAACACCCGATCATGTCTCACACACACACACTTTATTGTAACACCTTCTTTGTCATGTATACCCTGTTCCATGATGTTTTATATGGTTTTTACACATTCCTGCTGGGAAATAGAGTTTAAACAAAACAGACCAGTCTAACCAGCTAAACACCAGCCTAACCAGTCTGGAAGACCAGCTAGACCAGCTTAAGGAAATAATTGACTTATATTCATATAATTTCAAATCTTTTTTTTTTTTTTTTTGATGGGACATTTTTTTTTTTTTTGAGAATAGAATATTCTTTCAGATTAGCTAAAACCAGACCATTTTTTTCAGAAGGGATTTTAGATGTACTCTGTAACTCTGTAGTGATTCTGTCCTCTCTTGCTCTCAGGGCTACTCTTTTGTGGCTCCTTCTATCTTGTTCAATAAGAATGTGGTGATGGCGGATGTTCTGGATGCTCATGTGAATGTTGACAGGCCTGGTTCTGCTACAGTTCAGCGCAGTGCTATGCTAAAGGTAAACGACACCTCCAAAACAATCTTTGAAAGAGAATTTAGAAATTATTATTTTTTTAGGTGGTAAAAAAAGGTTAAACGGAATTGTTTCTTCTGTCTTTTTCAGGACTCCCAGTTCTTTCACCACTATGAGCTGTGCCTGCAGGGGGCTCCACTGGGCGAGGGTAGTTTTTCTGTCTGCAGGAAGTGCAGACACAGGCAGAGTGGCCAGGAGTATGCTGTAAAAATCATCAGCAGAAGGTAGAGACATTAAACCAAATGTGTTAATTGCCAAACCACATTTATGTCATTGCTTGAGTCACTATTTGAGGTTTCCACAAATTAATTAAGATATGGGTTGAGCTTTAAAAGAAAAGAAAAAACCAATAACATGATATTCTAAAAATTGATGCACCCATTTTTAGTGGAAAAATTATGGAAGGCCACTTCAATGTAAAAGAATATGAAAATTTTTAGTAAAGTAAAACAAATTGATCAAGAATAAATAATTAGATTTTCTCAGCATGATTTAAAAAAATAAAGAAAAGTACCTTTTTCCTCATTTTAGTTGAATATTAGTGTTTGCTCTAAATTCTGAATTATTTAGACTGTTTTTGGAGAACTACAGTGTCTCTTAAACAGTGTTTGCTTCACTATTATTCAGCAGCAGCACAAGAGAGCAAAAAGTTTATAAGTTTATGAGATTGCGTTCCAGTTGTAATATAATGAGAGACTGGGATGCTGTGAAGTAATAAATCAACAATAAATTCATTATTGTCCTAAGTGACTACTAACATAGTTACCAAGTCAAAGAATGTGTAATTCACTAATAATTGCATGAGATTATTCATATTTATATGCACAGGAGAACTTCTCACTAAAAAGTTCAGCCTAATTCATAACACAATAACTTCCCATAGCGTAGTAGAGTGGGCCTATACAGTGTGTTCCCAAACACCAGCCATAAGACATTTTATTTCCAACAGTGCTTTAGTCTTAGCACTAGAGGTGTTTGATATTGACAAAAAGAAATCGTCTCATAATGTTTAAGAATCAGGTCAGTGTGCAGAGAGTAGGCAGTCTTTTGTGGCTGTTTTAATGCATTTAACCACATGAGCATCTGCACTATACTGTAAAAGCAATCTGATCAAATTTGTATTTGACTACTTTTGTTTCATCCCACGTTTACACCTGTATGTAAACCTGTTGTGACTGACAAAAATGCAACGTAATACCATGTTGTAAACAAGACCTAAAATGGCTGATTCATTTAGAAACTAAGCAAGTAGCTGTCTTTATGAATGGGTTATTGTAACAAATCGTTAGTCGACCAAAAGAGGCCTGGTCAACCAAAATTGTATTTAGTCGCAGAAAAAAAAAAATCCACAGGCGAAGTCACGCAGTCCATAACTAACAGATCGTTAACGGCTAGTCTATGGTAATACAGTACATCAGGCAGGACATCCAAATGCTCGCCATCATTCATCGACCTCAGATGTGGCTTATCTGAAATATGTAAGTATTAGCAACTTTACATGGCCGCTCAATGTAATGTTAACCTAGAGAAATGTGCGCTATAGTGTCTGTGGGAAGCTGAACAGTAATGCTCACTGCAGGACAGATGGAGGCGCCGGTGCGCTCACTTGCTCCTAAAATACTGCTAATTTTTGGTCATACAGATAAAAGTAATACATCTTTCGAATCTGTAAAGACTCTGTTTATTTGTGTGCACTCACACTAAAAAACAAATCGCGCTATTGTGAAATAATGAAAGCAGACAGGATGCGCTTTCTGCTGTCTCGGTCTGTGAACTTGAACGCGAAACGCAGTGTATATCTTTACCTTACAGACTTAAAAAACATATCTATAGAGTGAAATGTCTACTTTCAGATGAACCAATTCAAATGGAAAACAAATATTCTCCGATTATGTAATCCGTATGAAACCTGCATACAGGCGCATCACTACTGCGGAGATGATGAGTCAGTGTTTCCGACTTCATCTCTTAAACCGAGAACAAAGAAATATTAAAATGTCAATGCAGTCTCCTTACTGTTTTTGCCTGACACATTCATAATCATTACTTCTGCCGGTGCGCTGTGGCACGCTTTATGCGTGTGCATGAGCGCTTATTAGGCTTTGTAGGCAATTAAAGGCTCATAATAATGATTTAAATGGTTTATTAATAAACGTACGATTAGTCGACTAACGCTTAAAATGAACGACTACTAGTCGACCAGAAAAATCCTTAGTCGAGGAGGTCCCTAGGTTATTGAATCATTCAGAAATGCAGATTCATTCAGTAATGAAACACCTCTATGTGTTACTCTGAAATGACTTTCTAACTGTGTTCTAATAGGCTACATCATGCAGTGAATATGTGAACTCTTGGCATGCTTTGGTTTTTGCAAAGCGAGTGACATACTCGATAATGCACATCATTAAAACAACAATTACGACTTTATCATAGATGAAACATATTGCACACCCCAACTCATAGTTTTTCTGCTGTTGCAGGATGGAGGCCATGACTCAGAAAGAGATAGCAGCACTACGCCAGTGTGAATCTCACCCCAACATCGTCACGCTCCATGAGATCTATACTGATCAGGTATGCCACACATACAGTACCTAGCTATCAAAATGAAGACATTCGGCTGTTTTTAAGCAAAAAGTAATATGTATACATACCTGGTCACATGTTTTACACTGTTACTTGTCTTTTTATAGCTTTTTACTACCCCCTGTATATCACTTCTTTCTTATTTTTGTTCCTATTTTCTCTGTTCCATCTCTCGCAGTATCACACGTATCTGGTTATGGAGTTGTTGCGTGGTGGAGAGCTGTTGGAGCGAATAAGGAAAAAGAAGATGTTTGCAGAATGGGAGGCCAGTCAGCTGATGAAGAGTCTGGTGTCTGCGGTCAGCTACATGCATGAGGCTGGAGTCGTACACCGAGACCTCAAACCAGAGGTAGAGAGACAGATACTGGCAAAAAGAATTAAAGATATAAAATATTTTTTTTCTAGGGCTGAGGGAACTAACTAGCTACACCCTAGCAGCTAATCAAAACACTGGCAACTGCAGCAGGGTGCTAAAAATAACACTAAACACAGTGATGTTTGCACAGTGAATATAAAATCTAGTTTAGTCTACTTAGGATGGATAGATGGAACAAATCAGCATGAAAGTACAGCAAAAGGAATATGTCTACTTGATGTATTGAAATGTTGTCATGACATTTAAATTTTTAGCTTTGATGGAATACCTTATATTCCTTTGATGGAATACCATACATATTCAATACCACAGGGAAATATTAAGGGCATACAATTTGAACTACATCTAATTTAATTTGCTGTTGACTTGGGCTAGGAAATATAGCTAAAAAAATTATCTCAATATTTTTCTCCAATTTTGATGATATTTGATATGTATATCAATAATTTTCTATTGTTCTCGAGAATTGTAAAAAGGTGTTGTTGTTGTTTTTTGCCCAGGATAGAACAGCTATTGTTACAAAGTACATAACAGATAATTTACTGCAACAACAATCAACATCGTTAACAAAAATAATCAATCGTTAACTAAATGCTTATAATAGATAGTGATCACTTTTTGCTTTTTACCAAATTGACACAAAAGGAGCATTTAAAATATAAAAATATGAAAATGCAGGCGTAATAATAATATTAATAATAATAATAATTTAGACATAATATAATATATTACTATTGGAATACAACTGCACTGTAAAATTACAAATGCTTTATAATTTAATTACTTTACACTACAGTAGTATAGTGACAATACTTACATCTTAAATTATTCAATTGTAAGAGTTAAATCCTTTATTTTGGCAGAAGACTTCAGAGAGACCTTTAAGTTTCTGTGAGGTTTACAAAAGCTTCTCAGTAGTGGACAATGGACATATTTAAGTAAAACTATATACTATATAACTTATACACTTAATTAAAACACACACACACACACACACACTTCTGTATGTCAGTTTACTGTCAGAGAAAAAGTAAAGAAAGAAAAAGTGAAAAAGCACAACTGGAATCAATGTGTCGAAACTGTATTGAAACAGTTTCTATTATTGAGAATCAATGTGTATCTTAAATATATATATATATATTTAATCTAATTAATTACATGATGTGTCAATTAATTAATCTAATTAATCGCAAAATAGATTTGACTGTGAAAATATCCACAAAAGATTATTTAAAGCTATTTTGTGTTAAATGAGAAAGTATCAAGTAGACATTACAAATAACTTAGTGGTAGAGTTACTCTCACGAGACACTGCACTTATTGGCAATCACAAAATTACATTATTTGCATCTGCTTTAAAGCCTTGCCGGTTAAACGTTTCATTTGCGTGCTGTTCTTGCTTGCGCTTTTTCTTAGCGCCTACACCCGAAGCATGCAAACTAAAAAAAAAACCTGTCAAATAGTTCCTAATTAGTGAACTAAGTTATCTTTTGCGCTAATACTGTCAAAACACACAAGGTTTACATATAGACTCAGTTGATTATGTCTAAAATGAAAGTAAACAGTTGAGAGAAAAACAGATGCGTGGCTGTATATTAGATGCGCGCAGCTCTTAAAGTCACCATGAAATCAAAATAGAAAATTCTTATTTTTTTTATGGAATACTGTAGCGTTTATTATAAATAATTTATCCGTGCACTTAATTTTTTTTTTTTATTCATGTGCCCTCTTAATCTTTAATCAAAAACGTTAACCTCCCCTCCCCCTCAAAACGACTCATCTTCTCTTCCGGTCACGAGCTATGGTGCAAGGGCAGAGCTAGTGACGTGAGGGGATAAACGACACGGAGAAAAGCTGAAGCTGATGCTTCACTTTATAGCACTGACACCAGTCATGAGGGAGTACGTTACCCCTAAACATTGAAAAGATATTAGGATATTACGACAACATTACTCTTAGGACATCGCAAACTAATTTTTTTCATGAATATGACTTAACCTGATGGAGGACGTGCTCAGTCATTCAGGCAGTCTCTCTCTCTCTCTCTCTCTCTCTCTCTCGCACGCCCTGTTTGGGCATATTTTGTGCCGTTGATCGTCGTCGTCATCCTTAATAAATAAAACATGTATTCATGCTTGGGCGTCGGCTGTGAATCCAGTGGAGAGAAATCCCCCACCACTAACTGCAAACTGGCATTCAGATCTGCCTCAATTTTGTTTGCAACGCCCCAACTTCCAACGATCCAATCAATTCCAGAAGGACGAAATCAAGTCCCGCCCTATCATTTCAGATACCGTTTCACTCGGATATACGTCACAGTAGAGAAGAAAAGACAATCGCAACTTCCGTTTCATGCCGACTTTAAAGGGAGAGTAGCCTATTAAACATGCCGCCAACTGTCATTAAAGGTATAGTTCACCCTAAAATTATTTTCTGTTATTATTTACTTACATGTTGTCCCAAACCTGTACTAATTTCTTTCTTGGGCTGAACACAAAAGATATTTTGAAGAATGTGGGTAACCAAACAGTTGCTGGTCCACATTGAATTTGATGGTAGGAAATAAATACTAAGTCACTGTGGACCAGCAACTGTTTGGTTTTCCACGTTCTTCAAAATAGCATTTATGTTCAGCAGAAGAAAGAAACTCATTCAGGTTTAAAAAAATTTGTTTTACTTTTTATATTTGTTCATTCAATTTCTTGAATGCTCCTGCTAAATACACCTATTGTACCTTAAAATAAAGCACTGTTTGTTTTATTTGTATAATATGTGTATTTATAATATGTACCTTTTTGTTCTTATTTTTTAACATTTTCAACTCGCGGCCCACACAACCAAACACATATGTTTCCGCGGCCCACTGCAAAAAAATTAACTGACCCCGCTATTTGTTGGGTTAATAACTGAGTACTCAGAAACTAGATTGTTAACTGTCTTTATTGAATGAACTGGCAATGAACAATAAATGCATTCAAAATATAAAATATGGCTTCGGCAGTTGATTGAGTCGGCAGCAACTTACAGAAAAGGAAATCCTCTTGTAATTCTCCGTTATGTACGTACATACCATACATAAGCAATGAGGTTGGAAAGGTTTGCTATATCGGTCGATGCATATACCTGTAGGGCATAAAAGGGACTCTATCGAATGTTTTTAACCAACTTCTGAGTTATGTCATCTGCCATTTCATTATTCTTCTCTCAACTGTGTTATCTGAAAGTGAAATCAGATTTTACTGCTTGCGGGCCTTTTCTCCACACATCACGCCAACCATTTCTTTCGTGGCAGGTAAAATAAAATTTTCACCAATTGTGTGAGGTTTTCCAGCCTTTGTGATGAGCTTTGCTACACGATAAGATGCCTCCACTGCTTTAATGTTGTCGTTGCCAGAGAACACAGTTTCAATAGTTTTTTTTTCAGTTTGTTCTCAAAAAACTCTAGGCTTGGACACATATTCACTGTGCTTAGTCTCCAAGTGTCGTCGTAGTTTGCTCGGTTTCAAAGCTTCATTTGATAAGACTTTTGAGCAAACAACGCAGAGCGGTAGCTGCTTGTTCTCCGCTCCCACACATGTGAAGCCTTGCGCTAGATAGTCACTACTGTATTTTCTTTTAGATTTATTTAGAGTCTTTTCAGTGTCAGGCTTACTTGTAGATGGAGAAACATCTGCATTTGTTCTTTTCAGCGACCCTGTTGACAGCCATTTATCCATGTTTGAATCTGCTGTTCTGTAGCATATGCAGCAAAAATATTTAGGATTGGCGGTTTATTCTTAAACCAATCAGCGAGCTCGAATAGTGTAAGCAAAGTAACAGTTTAATATTTATTTTTTATTTAATTATATATATGAAATTAAAGGGGTCATATGATGCTTTTTTAAAGATCATTATTTAGTGTATTTGGTGTAACAGAATATGTTGACATGCTTTAATGTTCAAAAAACACATTATTTTTGTTATGACTTTTTTTACATAAATTTTTACATATATTAACAATATTATTATTTCTTTTAATAGTAATTAGCAGCCCCCCTGCAATAGTGGGCCGTGGCCCACAGGTTGAAAACCACTGATATAGAAATTAGCTGTAATGCTCAGACAGCTTGCAAAATGGTAAAAACCGACATGACAAAGAATCGTGATATTTCTTTAAAAAAAAAAAACGTGATATGATATTTTGGCCATATCTCCCACCCCTAAATGATACTCTAAATAAGAAACTAAATCTGCCAGCAGGTGGCGGTAAATGTTACACCTCTCATGTTACATGTTACACCTCTCCTTATCTCCTTGCAATGGCTACCAGTTGGGGCTCGCATCAAGTTCAAGACATTGATGCTTGCATATAGAACAGCCTCAGGCTCAGCAATCGCCTACTTCCACTCACTATTACGAATCTACATCCCCTCCAGAAGTCTGAGATCCACTAGTTAGCGATGCCTTGTGGTATCATCACAGAGAGGCTCAAAATCACTTTCCAGAACATTCTCATTCACCATTCCTGGCTGGTGGAATGATCTTCCCATCCCTATCCGGAATGCTGAATCCCTGACAATTTTCAAGCGACAGCTGAAAACTCATCTCTTTCAAATCGACTTCATCCTAAATTAAAAAAAAAAAAAAAAACTTTGTCTTTCTCATTATTTATTCCTTCCCTTTCTAGCTTGTACTGATTTAAACAATGCCTGAAATTTGGTATTGCAAGCGCTTACTGTGACTGTTTGCCTCTTTAAGATGAATTGCTTTATGTATTCCCCAATTGTAAGTTGCTTTTGATAAAAGCGTCTGCAAAATGACTAAATGCAAATGGAAATGTCTTTATGAGTCATTCATTCGATTTGTTCAAACGGCTGATTCATTCAGAAACTAAACACTGCTGTGTTGCTCGGAGACGCACAAAAATTCTGCTATGGCTTTAAAGGTAATATGTTCTCTGCAAAATTATAATATAATATATAATTATACATAATATTGTGTTTAAAATGTAACACAACTGTTGTATAAAATCACATTTAAGCTCGTGATTTTAGGGACAAATACAGCACTCGTGTAATACTGCTCTCCCTGCCCGTATGATATCTTATGATATAAATATGAGACAAAAACATAAGATGATGTAGATGAAATGTAAGATGACATACAGGTCTGGGGGCGGGGCCAGTGCGTTAACTGCATTCAAATTTTAATTGCGTTATTTTTTCATAACTAATTAATTAGATTAACGTGTTTAACTGACAGCCCTAATATATATATATATATACAGTGGGGGAAAAAAGTATTTAGTCAGCCACCAATTGTGCAAGTTCTCCCACTTAAAAAGATGAGAGAGGCCTGTAATTTTCATCATAGGTATCCTCAACTATGAGAGACAAAATGAGAAAAAAAATCCAGAAAATCACATTGTAGGATTTTTAAAGAATTTATTTGCAAATTATGGTGGAAACTTTTTTTTTGACAACACTAATATGTAGATTTGTTGATGTTTGAACCGCAAACAAATAAATGAACACAAGGATGGACATCCTGATATTTGAATGCTTCAAAAGATCAACTAAAATGCAATGACAAAATGGTCAGCCTTAATGCCTTTCTTTCTCTAAATGTATAAAAGGATGCTGTCATGCGTTGAAAAAAGCATTATGCTCACATCTGTTGCACTGCTAACTGACCGTGCTCTATTCAGTATCTCATTCTCTCATTCAAATCTCCCGTCAGCTGTGTGATCATCATTCATAGTTTGCTTGATTTCACTCTGATATTATGCATTCAGCGCTCACTCTGTGCTCAGCTATCCATGTGCTGATTTGTCTCCGTGCAGTGGAATTTTAATGTGCCATCCACATGCAGGTAAAAGGACTGTAGACGAGAGACTGTCGACATTAATCTTCATCAGTGGGATTTTTTCCTAAATGAGATCTTTCAGCCATCGCTTAGACCAACTGCCTCCAATACGAAATGCACTGCACGTTTTAATACATCGCGATGCATCATAATTGGATCAGCAGTGCCAAAATGTCAAATTGTTGTAATGCAGAACCTCTTGTGGTTTATTGTGTTAATGCATAGCCAGCCGTATGTCACGTATTGTCCCTCTTTTTTCACCTCCTCTGGCAGAACGTGCTGTTTGCTGATGAGTCGGATGACTCGGTGTTGAAGGTGATTGATTTTGGATTTGCGCGGTTGTTTCCAGCGGGGAGCGGCAGCGCGCCCCTGCAGACCCCCTGCTTCACCCTGCAGTATGCCGCGCCGGAGCTCTTCCACAGCTCGGGATATGACCAGGCCTGCGACCTCTGGAGCCTCGGGGTGATCCTGGTAGGTTTGAGTGTATATAAGTGTGCTTGAGGATATTTATGTTTATGGATGAAGTGCTGTTTTAGACTGGACTGCCATATGTATTGTTTTATTCAGAGGAGAGGTCAGTGTTTAAAAATCAATACCTTAACTTGAATAAATAGAAAAGTAACAAAAATCTATTTCGATAAATTCCAAAAGTAAACTTAAAAGGGTCATATGACGAAAATTAAATGCAAAAGAAAATTATTTGGTGTATTTGGTGTAATGCAATGGGTTTACACCTTTAAGGTTAAAAAAACACATTATTTTCCACATACCGTACATTATTGTTGCTCCGGTCTGCCCTGCCTTTCTGAAACGTGTCGATTTTTACAAAGCTCATTGTTCTGAAAAGCGAGGTGTGCTCTAACTGGCCAGCTATCCAGTGCGTTGTGATTGGCCAAATACCTCAAGTGTGTGATGGAAATGTTATGCCCCTTACCATATTTGGAAACACACAGTGTCTCCACAACATGGCGGCGGCAACAATATTACAGCAAGAATAAAAGTTACGCCTTCTTTCTTTGTGTAAACATTTGGGCGGTGTTATACAAATCGGCCAACACACAGTGACGTAGATATGTGGGGGCGTTTTAGGAAGGTGTGGATGAGTCTTAACTTTTATAAAGAATATCTCTTTTGGGTTTGGGACTTAAGTCTTTGCAACTTTATGGATCTTATATATGCACGTACAGCTTGTAACACTCCAAAGACAAAGGAAAACTTGAAATCGCATCATATGACCCCTTTAAACTACTTGACTACTTAAATCATTGGGTTAGTGCTTGGGATATACTGTAGCATATGATCTATAAAAACACTCTTTTTTTTTTATTGATCTGGCTTAATTTCTGTTTGTATAACTTTTAAAGTCTAGTTTTTTTATACACTCCTGAGCAAAAGACCGGGGGAAACATTTCAAGTATTTGCATTTCGTGCTGGTGGATCGTAGCCAGGTTGTAAGTACTGCTTCAAAATGTCAAAAGAATAAACAGGAGCAAGAGATAAAAAATAGAGAAAAGGCCATTTATTTGAACTGGTCTTAAGATTTTGTTCAGGAGTGTATAATTTGACAGTTTGTTCAGAAATGTTAAACCAAAAATGTAATATAAAATGCTGATATTATTAGTGTCGTTCTTTTTCATCAGTACACCATGCTCTCCGGCCAAGTTCCATTCCAGAGTGAGAAGAAAGGAATGACTTCATCGCATGCAGCTGACATCATGCACAAGATCAAGGAGGGAGATTTCTCACTGGAGGGAGAAGCCTGGAAGGGTGTGTCTGAAGAGGCCAAAGATTTAGTGAGAGGTACTTTTACTGAAAGAATCAAAACTTGCTTGGGTGGTAAAAAATCTTACTCCAAGGTAGGGCTTGGTATGCCATAATCAGAAATAGCCTAGTTATTAGTATTACTATACTAGATAAGTTAGATTAACCTCCAACTTATCTTGTCTCCACACGTAACGTTAAATTAATTTATTTGGCTATTTCAAATTAATTGTGTTAATTAAAGGTGTCCTATTATGCCCTTTTACAAAATCTTAATTTGGTTTTTGAGGTGTAGTAGAATAGGTTTTCATTCTTTCATTCTTCATTCTTTTTCTTTACATCTTTTTGTAAAGTGTGTCTCGAATGCACTGTTTAGTTCCTGTTGTGTGCTCTGATTTGCTAGATGGCCCAGTGCATTGTGATTGGCCAACCATTTATTTTTTTAAATTTTTTTTTGTGTATTCTGTGGTTGGAAATTATTTAAGCAAGTGACTTTTTGAAGTCACAGTATCTGGAAGAAACACTCTGTAAGTCCAATTGAGCCATTTTCAAAAAACACGTAACAGGACTCCTTTAAGCATTACAACATAACACTAGCTACACATAATACATATTATTGCTACTACTAGGGATGTGTTCTGAGGTGACACCAATTAACAATAACATAAGCAAATAATTTTCATGATTATGCGTGATGTGACTTCTCCCGAATTTGAAATTCAGTAGTAACTTTATAAAAACTAGTCAAATAAGTTTTATTTTTAATTGTGTAATTACAACATAACAACATAACATGCGAGCATCCATAAACAATATGCTTTTAATCTAGCAGGACACACAGTTTTACATTTACATTTATGCATTTACCAGACGCTTTTATGCAAAGCTGCTTACAAAAGAGGTTCAAAAGCAATTCTTCAAAGAGCCAACAATATTTGTAATATAAAATGCCTTTGAAGTAGAGGGCCTGCACTGCGATTGAGATCCTGTGGGAGCAGGGGGTTTTACCTTTACTGCAGGCAGGAGTGGGTGGTCAAAAAAAATTGCGCAAATTTGGCGCATAACAAGAATAATGAACTTACGTAAACACTAGGCTTGCTGTGGTAGTTGGTGTTACATGGTGTTTGGTTGTACACGATTATATTACTTGCCCAACAACTTACGCACGTTTGTGGTAATGGTCAGAAATTCAGTGGGAGCAGGATTGAAAAAACAGTCCTGCAGTCCTGAGCTCTCTAAAAGTTTTTTTTTAATCTAGATGATCAGCAAGTCTGTGGCAAGAACCACCACACATTCGGATGAAAACAAATAATTTTCTTGTTAAAATGATAATGATAATAATAATATGACTATTAAGAAAACATTTGAGAACTTTTAAAATATTTTTCAAGAATTGAACATCCTTCTTGCAACTTATATTAAAGTACTTAACTTCTTAATTTTAACAAACACCCAAGAGGCCTATAGAATGACTTAAAATTATTGAAATTTTTTAACATAATTAACACGGGTTCATTTGATGTCAGAGTTTGGTTCATTTGAATTATGTACATATGTTTTTCCAATATCTTCTGTGCATCGGCTCAAAACGGTGGTCTGGGCTATGGTTCATGTGAAGTCCAAGCAATTGAACTCTGGTTTGGACCAAGCAATCAAACCAAGTGTGAAAGCGACCTAAAATACAATGGTGAGAATGTGGACACTCATAGCAAATCAGATAATTTTTTATAGCTCCTTTGTGTGTCAACCATGATGTGTCAACTCATCACACAAACTATACAGAACTTTTAGGCATTTCATCTCATTTAAGTGCCATATTTTCTTGACAAGTCACACCTGAACACAAGTCGCACTGGGTTAACGCTGCGCAACGCTGACCTCATACGTCATGCTCCCGGAACTGCTTCTGTGTACAACTGTTGGTGCAATGCATCGATTCGCTACAGAAGGCCTTTGTTCACCCCCCGGAGCGATGGGCGATTTTTATTTAAGTTCTTTTGGACTGAAGCAATGCAACACCCGCTGAGTGGCATTGAACAGCTTGAAAGATCAAAGACAATTTTTAATATAACACCGACTGTATTCGTCTGAAAGAAGAAAGTCATATACACCTAGGATGCCTTGGGGGTGAGTAAAACACAGCCTAATTTTCATTTTTGGGTGAACTAACCCTTTAACTGACAGCAGTTTTCTGAAGTACTCCTGAGCCCATGTGGCTATATTTAACACCATAGCATGAAGTTTCTTATGCACTGCCATCTGAGGGCTCAAAGGTCAAGCACATTCAACTGAGGTTTCCTGCCTTGCCCTACATGTACTTTGATTTCTCTGGATTCCCTGAATCTTTTCACAATATTACGTGTGGTAGTTGGTGAAAGACCTAAATTCTTTGCGATTTTGCTTTGCGAAATGTGATTTTTGATTTGTTTGACAGCTCTCTCATGAAATTTGGCACAAAGTGATGAGCCATGATCCAGCTTTGTTTGCAAAGATTGAGATGCTCCTTTTATACCCAAACATGATACCTTGACCCAATACCAATTCACCTGCTTACTGTGAACTATTTCAAAACAGTTTAAAGTAGGAAAGCACCGATAGGATTTTTTGGGACCGATACCGATTTTAACGAACACTTATTGTCCGATTCCGATACCGATATTTGTCACTTCCTCTCTTATTTGAAATTTTGGCATCAAAATAGTATTTTAATAATTAAATCAGCAAAGTTCAAAAACACCTACATTAAATTATACTAGCAGTTTTATTGCTGCATCATCAAATAATTTGTAATGAACATGGATTGGATCCATTTAACATTCAGCAGGCCTACATAAATACAACAGAACAAAGATGCATATTAAATAAACAGTGCTTTTTAGGTAGGTTTAACACTTTTCAGGTACAGAAATAAAGTAAACAAATGTAAAATAACACTTCACTGTATAAATTAAATACATATTAATCCTTCTTTATTGTAACAGACTTTATTATGATTAATCTTCTAATTTGTTTTTGTATACATTTTAATATTGGTTTGTAAGTTTAAATATGTGTGAGATCTCCTTTACTAAGGCAGGACTCTTATTTTGATGGGTTTTCTAGTCTACGGAGCTCAGTGTTGCCAAGTCCGCGGTTTTCCCGCGGAATTGGGCTACTTTAACACTGTTGCCATGGGGTGTTTTTCATGTCCGCGGGTTTAAGCGACCCCAATAACGTGATATTTAGCCCCTAAAATGCAAATTTTACCAGGGGAACCTCACCAAAAACGTGTATTTTAATAATAATAATACCTTTTATTTATAGGCGCCTTTCAAGACACTCAAGGACACCGTACAATAAAACAAAGCATAAAAAGCAAGCATTATAACAACACATTAAACAAGCAAATCATTAAAAGCAATTCTAAACAAATACGTTTTTATCTGAGCTTTAAAATGGGAAATTTAATCCAGCTGGCAAATGTGCAAAGGTAAAGAGTTCCAAAGCTTCGGCGCTGCACAACTAAAGGCCCTACCACCAAAAGAACTCATCCTGAAGTTTGGAACAGACAATAAATGTGCAGAAGTTGATCTTAAAGAGCGCAAAGGAGTGTACAAATGGACAAGATCTGAAAGATAATGAGGTGCCAAATTATGAAGCGCTTTGTATGTAAGAAGTAAAATTTTGTAATGTACACGATAATGAACAGGAAGCCAATGCAACTTAAAAAGAATAGGAGTTATGTGATCGAAAGTACATAAACGGGTATCTATCCTAGCTGCTGAATTCTGAATTAACTGTAATCGATGAAGTTGTTTTTCAGGAATGCCAAATAAAATAGAATTACACTAATCAAGCCGAGATGTAACTAATGCATGAATAAGCACTTCAGTACTATGTTGAGAGAGTGAAGAACGAAGTCTAGCAATGTTGCGTAAATGAAAAAATGCAGAATGTGAAATATTACTAATATGAGAGCCAAACGAAAGCAAACCATCCAGTGTAACCCCAAGACTTTTCACCTGGGTAGAAAAATTGACTGAACAATTATCAATGAACAAAGTAAAGGACTGAGTTTTAGATAAGACAGACCTAGAACCCACAAGGAGGGCTTCTGTCTTAACTGGTATTTAATTTTTAAAAAATGATTAGTCATCCATTAATGTCCTGGAGACATTTAGTAAGGTCAGGAGGGGGATGAGAAACATTAGGTCTTGTAGAAATATACACTTGTGTGTCATCAGTGTAAAAATGGAAATTAATACCATAGGAACGAAAAATACGACCAAGAGATAGAATATAAATGATGAATAAAAGCGGACCCAGCACTGACCCCTGTGAAACACCATGAGTAACTGAGACAGGATCTGAGCGTGTATTCTTAATCTGCACAAACTGTTTTCTATCACTTAAATAAGATGAAAACCAAAGAAGCGCATTCTCAGCTATTCCTATGCAAGCCAGCCGTTCCAATAATACTGAATGACTAATAGTATCAAAGGCAGCACTAATATCTAACAGAATAAGAATAGACAGAAGACCAGAATCAGCAGCTACACTCTAAAAAATGCTGGGTTGTTTCAACCCAATGTTGGGTCAAATATGAACTAACCCAACTGTTGGGTTAAAAAGCTAATTTAAAAATGTAACCATAATTTAACCCAACAGTTGGGTTAGTCCATATTTGACCCAACATTGGGTTGAAACAACCCAGCATTTTTTAGAGTGTAGGAGAATATCATTTATAACCTTAACAAGAGCTGTTTCTGTACTATGTTTAGGTCGAAAGCCTGACTGAAAATGCTCGTAAATGTCATTACTTTGCAGATGCGATTCAAGTTGTGCTGCTACTGTTTTTTCAAGTATTTTTGAAATAAAAGGGAGATTAGAAATAGGCCTGTAATTATTTAGATCATTAGGATCAGCGCCAGTCTTTTTAAGAATTGGAGTGATGGAAGCCATTTTAATGATGAAGGAACAGTAGCAGTTGAAAATGAAGAGCACACAATAGCTGTAATAATAGAAGAGACTGAATTGATACAGGACTTAACTAAAACAGTAGGTAAAGGATCAAGTGAACAGGTGTGGAATTCTTAGACTTCATGATCTGCTTAGTAATATAATCAACTGAGGGCAGCTCAAAATTAGAGAAAGTACTTGCAGACCAACAAATATAATATTCTTTTGTATAATCCTTAGAAGCCAAAATCTAAATAAAAAAATTAAATTAGCTTAATAAAACAGCCACAGGCCTAACGTGTAAGCAGATGTTTGAATGTTTAATTATCTCTTCTATCATAATTAAACAGGGCTTTCATGTTGCGCGTGCTGAAGCTACTCCGTGTGGGCGCGATCTCGCTTCTGAATTGCGAATAGCAAAAATGCATCATAGACAAATGTTTGAAAAACAGCTAGCGACTCTGGTGAGATAGAATTTGCAAGATAATGTATATATAGCAATAATAAATGTATGTGTGTTTTATTAATTTCCCCAGTACCGATAGCAGAACCGTTAACGTCAGAGCTTATCGATACTCCGGTCTTTCATAATTTAGCCCCGGTACCGATTAAATACCGAGTTTTGGTACCCATCCCTAGTCACGATAAATAAGTGCAAGACCACCTCCCTTACCAGAACAACAAGGTTTGCATACGTATTCATATCCTGATGGTACTGTTTGATTTAAATGAAAATAATCATTAGGCTTCTGCCATGTCTCAGTCACACACATAAAATAAATATTTTGGTCTTCAATGAGTTCATGAATGAGAGACATCTTATTGTTGAGTGATCGAACATTAAAAAGTGCAAAACGAAGTGCAGGAGGCATGTAATCTGACCTGGGCAATGGAGTAAGCACTTCATGATCAACAGACCTCCCAGCGTTTTTAGGCAGTCTTGGGTTAGTAGACCAAAAGGACCAAATTTGTCCACTGCAATCAGGATTAATAGAAGTGATTGGGATATTCCGACGAGACCTACGATGAATGTATTTTGGCCGGCATATGAGATCCGGGTGTTTGAGCAAAAACAGTTCAGTTACAAATTTTGTACAAGTCTGCCGCCGAGTACATCAATTGAGGAGAATGATCACAGCGGAAGAAAGAAGATCCACAGCAGCAGCTTGAGCAACCACATGGTGAAATCCTCTAGTAGTACTAGGACAGTACTATCCTCACTGCAAGGTCAGGATGCCAAACAGCAGTTGCAAAAGTCAAAGGTCCAGGTTACATCCAGTTCAGTGGTGCCGTGCAGCAGAGGCTAGATAAATTTCCCAGCTTAAAATATCCAAATATTAAAAGAGAGTAAAACAAAAGACCAGTGAGTAGCGGCAGCCAAACGCGCCAGCGTTCACTCAACTGGAAGCTTTAAAATTCCAAATGAACAGAAAAGGCAGGAGATCTGTATATATTTGTTTACTGTTAGTTGTAATGAGTGTTTTGTGTAATTCTCTGTATTTTGATGATAGTGCAACTGAAAGAGAGTTTAATGTGCACTTCTCATGCTGTCTTTTGTTTAGCTCTTATGGTGATTTTTTTTGGGGGTGAAAAAGGATGCAATAAACTTAATAAAACATCAGTAAAGTTTTGGTCATCATTCATATGAGGTCCGTTACACTTGCAAAAGTTATTTAGTCAAGAATAGTGTGCAATCTTTTGTCTTTTGTTATTTAATTAGCATTAAAGTACAGACAGCAGCACTAGGATTATGAAACAGACATACAGCTCAGTGCCTTCACGCAGTTAATTAATAAACCATCGGTTTGTTATATCGGCCTTTTCCCTTATGTAGCGATATGTCGATGGTTGTAAATTGAGGAGAAATCGGCCTATAAATATCGGCGGCCGATACATCGATGCATCCCTAGTTTAAAGTGGATATTCTATAACCTTTTCACTTTTATTTTGCCTCTGTCCCAACTCTGTCAAAATTTTTATTGCATTATTACAAAACGTGTATATTTGATATATTCCTTGATTTTTCCCCCCCTCAGTTCTTTAGCCTGTTTTGTCCCAGTACTCCAAAATCAGTTGGCAGTTCTCCTATGATTGGATTATTAACCTTCCATATACAGAAAATCCATTTGGGTAACCTAAATGTGTGTAATTTAAATCAGATTTAAGATTACGGTCCAAATTGAGGATTCGATCAGAAAAGCCCTTGTTACAGGATCTGCTAGTTTATGAAATCCTCTGTGAAATAATTGGTGATCATCCATAGTAACTGAATTGAATCTTTATGGGTTTAGAGCTTGGAGACCTGTGAAATTTACTTGTGTTCACCCAATACTTGGTGTCTCTATTGATTACCACCTGAAATAGCAGTGAAATACGTTGTAATAGTTTTATACCACTCCAAAGCTTTTAATGAGTGATGCCTGACCCAGCCGTCAGGGACCCACAGGCCCTCAAACGCATATCAGTCCAATTTCAGCAGAAGTGCTTGTTATTATAGCTGCCATCTGATCATCTAGATTGAGATGGATGAGGTTCAGTGCCCTGGTGGAAGGAAAGAGTGTGATGGTCCCTGAGGATGCTGCTTTAGTGGCTGAAGAATGCTTATATTGGCAGCCCCCAAATTAGCTTCCATCTGAAGTTTTATCTCCCTATTCATCTTCACAGGTTTGTTAACTGTAGATCCTGAGCGACGGCTGAAGCTCTCGGCTCTGAAAGAGAATGCCTGGCTTCAGGGAGGTGGCGTCATGTCCTCCACCCCTCTCTGCACCCCTGATGTTCTGGAGTCCACCGGCCCGACTGTCCGTACCTATGTCAATGCCACCTACAAGGTCAAGGATCTGCATTTTATACCTATATTCAGTAGTGATGCATCCAAGTAAAATCCTTGCAAGTACATATGGAATGAAAGTACAGAAATTATTTATTACATGCTAGTAGTACCAAATGGAATTACAAAAATAATGATTGTTTTTTTATGATTGCTGATGTTGGTAAATCCTTTCATTCCCCAACATATTAGATAATCTTATCTGGAATAAAATACAAATTACATTGATGACAAAAGTGTGACGCTCAGATATTCACATTAAAAGATCAATCAATTCTGTCACTATGTTAAACCATTTAATTCAAAGCAAAACCTATTTGATTATATATATATATATATATATACAGTGGGTACGGAAAGTATTCAGACCCCCTTAAATTTTTCACTCTGTTATATTGCAGCCATTTGCTAAAATCATTTAAGTTATAAATTCCTCATTAATGTACACACAGCACCCCATATTGACAGAAAAACACAGAATTGTTGACATTTTTGCAGATTTATTAAAAAAGAAAAACTGAAATATCACATGGTCCTAAGTATTCAGACCCTTTGCTCAGTATTTAGTAGAAGCACCCTTTTGATCTAATACAGCCATGAGTCTTTTTGGGAAAGATGCAACAAGTTTTTCACACCTGGATTTGGGGATCCTCTGCCATTCCTCCTTGCAGAGCCTCTCCAATTCTGTCAGGTTGGATGGTAAACGTGGGTGGACAGCCATTTTTAGGTCTCTATTATATAAACAAGACCGTATACTTAATTGGATAGTTCACACAAAAATTATAATTGTCATTTACATACCATAATGCCATTCCAAACGCATAATATTTTTGTTAGTTTGGAGCACATCAAATATTGTAAATGGAAGCTCATATGTGCTTTCTTGATATGTGAATAAAAGCCTAAAGTAAATTTGTTAATCATTGATTTCTTTTATGAACTTTCTGAAACGTCAAAGTTTTGGGTGAATAGACTTTTAATGGAGGGATGGAAATCTCTCAGGTTTCATTAAAAATATTTTCGTTTGTGTTTTGAAAATGAATGCAAGTGTCATGGGTTTGGTACAACATGAGTATCAATAACAGATAATATTTTTGTTTTTGGTTGAAAAATGATCTGATCTGATCTTTAACCTGAATATTATAGATTTTTGCATGTATATTGAATATATTGTCCATTATGTATCATATTTTGTACTTGTAGTGAATATTATAAAAATTTGATTCAGTTATGGTTGATGTTCATATCAGATTTTCTTCGATTGACCCCCCAATGATGAGCAACTCACTTGGAATAACTCCTGAGTGACCTGATTGGCCACTCATTAAAAAACAGAAATTTGCTGACAAAATAGTGTGTTTTTCTTTTTTGCTGTGAAATCTGTATTATGTTTAAAAACTCATATTAATGCTTTGCATCATGATATCTCTTTATTCCCACAGGCATTTAACCGGGGGAAACGTGAGGGCTTTTTCCTTAAAAGCGTTGACAATGCGCCGCTTGCAAAACGTCGGAAGATGAAAATGACCAGTACTGGTGTGGAGACGAGACGCAGCTCATCCTCCTCCTCATCTTCCTCCTCTTCCTCATCCGCTTCCCATTCCAAGACGCAGAATTGCCAATCTTTGAATCCCCACGAGGACCCCAAACTGTGACCGCTCCCGTTTGACTGAAAAGCTTTGATGTGGTGAGAGAATGTGTTGCAAAAGCATTACAGGGTGAAAAAGACCTATAAAAAAAGACTAATCAAAATAATATAACCTTGACAAAATTCAACATTAATTGAAGTCTCTGCAGGAGTAAAGCCTTGTGCTGACAAGATCAACTTGGATTTTCAAGTCATTTGGAGGAAAGAGGTTTTTTTTTTTTATCAAGGTGGCTCTCTGTAAACACAATGCCAAGGAAATGATCTACATTATCAAATAGACACCAATGGTGTTTCCTTTGTAATTTCTTTTCATCATTTGAGACTGTAGACATGTTAATGAATGTAAAAATGTTATATCATGTGGTGGGTATCTACCCACCTTTAGAGAGATCTTTTAACTGCAAGAGACGATTGAAACGCGTGAAACTGAGATCAGGGAAAGCTGAAATATTAGGGAATAGTGGACAAGAAAGCCACAAGAGAGCAAAGCCATATGTGAGAATTAGAGTGGACTTCTATTTTAATGTATTTTAATGATCCACTGAGCAAAGCTTTATGTGAATCATGTACAGGCTATTTGCATATCACTACCTTCAGAAGTTTTCTCGATGTTTGCATGGCTATAGTATTTTGAATGTTTTACATTTTTTAACAGTTGACCTATGAAGTCAGACCACACAAAGTCACCGAAGCACCAGTTAGAAATATGTCCTATCCAGTATCCACACTTTTGGGTGAATCTCACAAAGACATGTCAGTTGTATTTCTCCTTGAAATCAAAAGAAAAAAGAAAATTATATTTTAAGAACAATTAAATATAAAAAATTATTAAACCACAAGTCATGCCTGCCATATTTGCCATTACTGCAATGTGGGGAAAAAAACCCTAATCAAATCAGATTTCTTTATTTTTAATTCAAATCAGCACAAATGCAGCAATATATACTTACAATTGTACTTTAATAATGTGGGGGGGGGGGGAATAAATATTTTTTCATGGGAAATGAAATTAAAAAAAAAAAATTCTTGACTGTTTCTGTGAGATTCACCTTTTTTGTCACAATTTTTTTACCTTGTGTCTTATTGCTAGTTATCACATGAAGTGTGTAGAGATCACTTTATATACCATCACTAACTTACTTAATCGATTTAAAAAGGTTTGGATATATGAATCTCTGGCTTTGAAAACCAGATGTGGCGTTTGCTTTTATCAGTGTACTTGAAATGTTGTGCTTCATTAATAGTGTGCACAGTCTTGTCTCTTCTACTGAGCTGAGGGATCCCGACATCCACTGCCTGTTCAACTCTGCTATCCGTCGACCGTAAGGGCTGAGGTTCACAAGACAGCAATCAATCCCTCACGTTCTTAAGGGCTTTCACAATCGCACATCCACGCTGTAATCGAGTGACCCTCTTGCACTGTGACGAGTGTGAGAGATGGCACTGGCATCCCTCTCTATTTCCCTTTTTTATTAACCGTCTTCACGGCCATTAGTCTTGCAATATTTTGACTTGATGTACAAGCATTCAGACATTTTAGTGTGGAGTCTTTCTGATGTATGTGCTGTTTAAATCCACCGAATGACACTTAGGATTCAGACTGCGTGTTGAGCTGACGGTTTTATTAAGATGCAAACAGGTGTCGAGGCCCAGTAAAACACCTCCAGCAATGTTATATAAACTCTGCTTTTCTTTTAAGAGGTGTGAAGCTGGCAGGTATGAACAATTTAACAGTCAAATTGATTGTTTGGCACTGTTTTTATTGAAATAACATATTCATCATTTGTTTGTGCCAAAATAATCAGTTAATGGAGCGTAATATTGTCTGTAATATAGTTTTGCACACGAGATGCACTAGTCTGGGTTTTTTTATGCCTTTATTGTTCACAAGCGATGCTTTTGTCAGCTTTTCATTGATGGAAACAGTGAAACTGTTTGTGAAAAGACTGGAACAAATTCAGCACATTCTGATGCATATCATCAAGGGGTTCAAATGCAGAATTTTGCTCAGCATCTGCAATCAAAGTATCTTTCAGATGCAGTCAGCACAGTTACATCATGCTGTGTGATAAAAATAGGTTTGACTTTAGGCCTTTTAAAAGAATAGTTCACTTAAAAAATGAAAAATTGCCTAAAATCGACTCATCCTCAGGTCATCCAAGATGTAGATGAGTTTGTTTTTTCATCGGAACAGATTTGGGGGAATTGATAGACTGGAGTTGCGTGGATTATTGTGATGTTTTTATCAGCTGTTTAGACTCTCATTCTGACGGCACCCATTCACTGATCCATTGGTGAGCAAGTGATGTGATGCTACATTTCTCCAGATCTGTTCTGATGGAGAAACAAACTCATCTACATCTTGGATGGCCTGAGGGTGAGAAAATTTACAGCAATTTTTTAGGTGAACTATTCCTTCAAGGGATGATATATCAATGAACACAGTGATTTTACACTATTGTTTTAAGTAAATCTGAATCATTTTGTCGCACAAGTTTGACATGTCAGTGTGTTTTGGGCTCTAAAAACAGTCATTTTTTATTTATTTCTTTTAACTTGCTCTTTACATCTTTATTCAGTGTTACGGCTTTTTGCTTAATGTAGTTTAGTTTATTTTTGTTTGTTTAATTTGTCAGTAAGAACAAGTCGTCTGCTCTAATTAGATCATGCACTGCCTTTTTTTGTGGAAGTACTACAAATGTACATTTTTGATCACAAATGTTTTACTAGACATGATTTGACGTCTACAGTTTAAGGGTGAGCTTGCCGTGTCTCTTTATGGCTCGAGTGTGGTCTGAGTATATTATGTTATGTTAGAGTTCTGATTTGCATGTTTTGTTTTCTTTAAAAAAAATTTAAACAATCTTTCCCGGTTAATTTAAATGTTCTGTCTCTTCCAAAAAATGGTTTGTTATAAAAAAAGAGAATTATAAAATAGAAATGAAATACACTGTTATAAGAATAAATGAGATGCGTTGTTGTGCATTAAGAACATTGCTAAATCCAAAGCATAAAATATTAAAATGTACCACACTCTAACTTTCTTTTCCCTTCTTCAGCCAGTAAAGTTTTTACCTCTGTTCTTTATTTTTATTTTTTGATATTATGTGTTTGGTGTTGCTTTAATAGTTCAGATCCATTGCATTATCTTTGAGTGTTGTCTTAAAGGGATGGTTCACACATAAACGAAAATTGTGTCATCATTGACTCACCTAGATGAACAACACTTGAAAGTATGCCACTGACTTTTGGCACAATCTGAAATAAATGAGAAATATTATTTGTCCCCAGCACGTCCACAGGCCTAATCCTTTATTCTGAACACCCTATTGTAGCTTTGAGAGTGTTTGCGACCAGAGGATGTAGCCACAGGCCCTTGAAGGAGCATAGTCCTCCTTTGATGGCAATGGGGAGTTTGAGGCCAGCTAAGAAAGTCACATTGTAAAACATAATGGACACATCACTGGACACATTGTCATTTTTTTTTTAGAATCAGCAAATGCAATTTCTATCACGTTTTAAATAATGTATTATGTTTGATATGCAATGGAAAAGAGTTGAAATATTTGTTTGAAAAAAAGGCTTTTATTAACACTGACAATTACAGCTTAATATTTTAAACGATGCCTAAAATATTCAGAATTTTTTTTTTTTTAACAATATGTCTGTTTCATCTCTCTTCACTTCTCTACATCAAGGACTCTTTAAAAGGATTAACATTGTTAGGTGTAGAAATGAAGCCACTCTGGTAATTTATTTATTTTTTAGAAAACACTGGGATGGTTTTGATTCGTTTTTGAGACGTGTCGCTTTTATTTTTGCATGATCCTCTAAATCAGGGTTCTTCAAATCTTGCCCTGGAGGGCCAATGCGCTGCAGAGTTTAGCTCCAACCCTGTGATGCACACACTCCCAAAATGATGTGATAGTTATATATATTCTAAATAAACTACAAACAAAAAAATAGATACATTTCTTTTTCCTCATTATTTCTTGTAGCAATTCCCTCTCAGTCACTCACCTGACAGCTCATTATGCAGCTCATTATGCAGGCCTTTGTCTTCTTAGGTATGAATCACATCAGTATACATGACCATTCACGCCCCCTCGCATATTCCTTTTCTACACAAAAAGTGTCTTAGAAAATTTAAATCAATATATTGTTTTCTGTGAGTGAGTAAACAAGATGATTTTCACATCATTCTGATGCAAAAACTCTAGACTTCAAGATCTGTTCTCAATAGTCTTGTGAACAAATGTTCTGTATGTGTTTTATGGCCTTATTTCAGTGACTTTAAAATTTTAGTTTTTCACTAAGCACGCATAAACGTTGTTTTCTCAAAAACACAATCACATACATACATGCTGCTCACATATTATTGTAGCCCAGTTTGTGCTGATTATGGTGCTACTAAACTTAGTCATTAAAATGTTTATTAGCAACTGAAAAAAGCACAAATGTCAGGACATGTCAAAACTTCTCCAGGGCCCAAAACACCCTCAGACCCCAGAGGGTTAAACTCACCTACCTGTGATTTTCTAATGATCCTGAAGACACTGATGAGCATGCTCAGGTGTGTTTGATTAGGGTCAGAGCTAAACTCTGCAGGAAAGTGGCTCTAGTGGGCCAGATTTGAGGATCCCTGCTCTAAATAGTCTAAAAAATGCCCATATTCTCAAAAACAATCCTACGAAGTAATGTTAATTTAATTTATTTAAATTTAGATTGGTCTTCCTAATAATACGTAATTTTTTCTATTGTTAACGATAATGACAGTCCCATTTTGGTAATCACGTCGTGTGTTCTCTACGAATCAAAACTAAGGATTCGCGAATGAACCATGATCTAATCAGTCAAACGGGTTTGCCGTTCGTTGTCTGAGTTCGCAATTCATTTTGATTCATTGGGACAGTTCACGCACGATTCGTTTGCGGCGGTTTCTCACATCGCAATCAAAACAGCTATGTATATATATATTTACATATATATTGTATATATATACAATATATGTATATATATATATATATACAGCTATTTTATATATATATAAAAAGAATAAAATATGGGGACCCTTTTTTATTGCTGGGGTCTGTGCCCCGGTTCTGATAACAGGCTAGAAACGTCCCTGCTGTGATCTGAAGCTACTGAACATGAACAAAAACGAAGCTCTCCAGTTTGAACTTTCAATATATCTTAAAATCTGGAATTAATTCTCACTCTTTCAAATGTGCCATGTCGTAATGCTCCAAAGGCAACACCTTATTTCGCTCCTGCAGTACCCAGTAAAGCACACCAGATGTCAGTGCGACTCTTACAGCCTCTCACCAGGAGCCTGTACATTGAAAAACATCGCGTCAAAATGGCCCTAATGCGCCTGTCAACGCGTCATTAATCAAAGTGATGTGAAAGCGGATCATTTGCATAGGAAATTGTGATATATGGAGCATGACACAAATGGATATGAATGGAACAATAAATCAAAGAGATTTCATCAATTATAATTGGCCCCTTCTGGCTGTGACCCAAGGTTTACTGGTGTCTGCTAACACACAGCACTTATTATTTCAGAAGCTCCTTACAATAAGGCAGACATACAAGCACATGTGTGCGCACACGTCTTCACATCGATGGCAAAAACGAATGAAACGTCAGCTGCTACACTTCAGCCTGACCCGTAATAAGTTAAAGTGTCTCACACTTTTAGGTTTTAGGTCTTCTCTCACTGGCTCTCACTGCTGAATTATTGAGCTCACAAAGAGTGAGTGTGACCCCACCGGTGTCAGTAAGAACGTTGAGCTTGATTTCATGGCTTATCTTCAGATATCTGCATGAATTTTTCATCTCGCCTTTCCAAAAAAGCTTTTCATTATTAAAAATCCAAATATGAGTACAGTACTATGGCCCACCCGGCACGCAGAGTGAAAGTGCATGATTGTTGCTTACTATGACACCTCACTACTTTAACAGCATCT